GAAAAAGTGTTTCAGTAAAAAAGGGTTTTGAACAGCTCAGGACGGAAACAAACACTGCGTTTCGTGGTATTAATATTTCAGTTTACCGGCATTTCAAAACCAAAATGCGTGGAAAATTATGTTGCTTAAATACTTTGACTCTGCGCTAGCACCTAATTTCTCCCGATAACATCACCCATGAGTTATACAATTAGGTCTTGAGAAAAAAGGATGCGATCCCCGTCTAAAGACGCTCTCGATTGTTAAACAAATTCTCCTTGTCAGCACCTTGGGAACGCAAAGAGAACAGTATGGAGAATATGCCTACTGATGTTAGGGTGTGCATGAGGGGTTCATCGTGACCGCCATACACTGAGTTATCTTCCATTCCAAGGTCTTTCAAACCTACACAACAAATTGGGTGGTTCACCTGTGTTAAGCCCAACTTCACATTGGAAAATTATTTGTCATCGACATTAGCAAATAAACCTTAAAATTGTAAACGACGCTTTCCTGTACCTATTATACACTTTTATGACAAGTTTGTAAATGGCAAGCTGTGGAATTAAATAAAAAAGTGCTGAGAAAGTTAACACAGTCGAGGTTTGTTTTGCAAACGTCTTTCCACATATTGTAAAAATGACTCCGAATTTTTGAAATAATAATAATAATAAAAAATTACAGCAGTTAACTTCTGTGCAAAAACATCACAGGTCTCATCAAATAACATGCGACAATTGTGACATACGTTATTTTAATTAGCCCTCAATCAGTCTTTGCTTCACAAGTAGAATTCAAACGTGACAAAATGGTGTTAAATACAAAAGCGTATTAGGGTTGTAACTGCTCATGAATCTCATGATAAAAAAGCGAGTTAAACTAATTTGGAGACTGCAGAATAAGCACACGAGAGAACTTTCCGAACAATCCCTCCAATTCCTTTAGTTTGTGAAAAATTAGTCTTTAACTCCCGTGGATTTAAACATAAATTATTGATGGCTCTACCTTTGTGTTTTTACACTTCTAATTAAAGTTTTTTTGACACTCTTCAGAGTTGGCATCAATTTCGAGCACAACTCTGGCTACTCAACAATTCAAAGTGATACAAACTTCAATTATTGCAGGAGGAATAGCAAGGAGGACTGCAGCCCCACCCTTCAGACAAAAATTTGGGGGTCAATTCTGCTTTGCCACAAATCAACCACAAGGACAAAGTGAACACAATTAAAATAACAGAAAGTTGCACTTGCACTTGAATAATACTTAAGAAATTTCAGTAGGTATATACACTTGGCTAATAGTGTATCATAAGCATGCCCCACTTTGAAGTTCCCAACTGAATCACTTTTAAACCTCGCCAAAACTAATGTACAGTGGAGTAAAATTTTCAGCCTTGGACTTGTCTTATTTTCATGTCAGAAGTGGAAGAAAAGTTTCTTTGAGCTTAGTTAACCTGCGAGTGATCTTTACATCTGGTCCTCTTAAAGTATATTTTAAAATTGTTTCCATGTTAGATTTTCCACCAGTATCCAAGTTATAAACAAAAGATTATTTGCATGTTTCTATAAAGAGCAGGGTTGTCATTGGAAGCCATTAGCTGGCAAAAACCTGCCAGCTAATGACAATCTTGCACTTATTACTTTTTGAATTGTGACAAAACACCAAAAATAAGTATTTTTAAACTGTATTCTTAGACCAATGTCTGGCTAAGAAAAGTTATTCAAATATGTCCCAGAATGCTGGAACTCACTTCTTAGAGAGTTTTAAATTTTTTTTTTTTCCAAAGGGACATGTTCTGGACCCACTAAAAGGGTGTTTTGCTCTGCTGCATGCCATGCTTCAATTTAGCCCCCTACTTAGTTCAGATCAAATACCAATTACATTTGCTAATTACTTCTAAAAATGTGCATACAAATTTACTTTCTTGCACTTTTTGGTGTCTTTCACACCCATGTAAAAGAGATTATCAACACTCAAAGATAAAATGTGTTTCCATTCGCAACATGTAATATCCTGTATATATGTATAACAGAAGAGGAAGTTTGATATCTAGCCTGCAGAGTAGTCATAATTTTGGCTAGCAAGTACTCAGTATTTTCTTAGCAAAAATTATGACCACCAACTTTGATTTTAAAGGTAGCAGAAGGCTGGGAAAAGAAAGAAATTTGTACCAAGGGGGTGAGTGACAGTAAAAAAAAAAAAAAAAAAAAAAAAGAAGAGGGGTGGAGTGGGAGAGTGAATATTTTGCCTTTCTTCAATCCCACCCTCCACCAAATCAAACCAAATCCAAATCAAACATCTAAATCCCATGAATCTAAGACTTCCAGTTGGTAAATTACAATGTAGTGGTGAGGATAATTCCTAGATCACATATTGCAACCTACTGAATTCAATTTGTGTTACTTTATGTAACATAAGTTGTGCTAAACACAGCTGTCTGAAACAAACCATTAATAAAATAAATAATTTTGGTAGATATAACAGCTCCTGCCTACCTTGACATATTGTAGTTTTTCAATAAAGGCAGCCAGTGGCAGAATTAAGGCATCACCATAGAAGGTAGCATCACTAACACAAACAGAAAGGAACAATATTATGTTACAATGTTCTGTGAGGGTGGCAAAGGATTCATAAGTGACATGTGATTAAGCCCAAAATCAACACAAGATGGATGAATTTTACCAAAAAATAAGGTAAGATGAGATTTGAAGTTTCCCCTCTTAAATTCAGAACACACAAAATACTGTTTAAGGTACATCTAAGCAATGAGTTTTTCTAAAATTTATCCATGAAATGAGATGAAATGGGATCAGTCCCCCGCTCCCTCCTCCCATTCTGTGTGCTGGAACCCAAAAACTGTCCCAAAATGCACCGCATACATTAACCCTTTAACCCCTAAGAGTGACCAGCATCTAAATTCTCCTTACAATATCACCACTGAATCACACATGAATGTCAAGAGAATAAAGGAAATGACCACCAACTTAAGAAACTCTTGATTGTTAGACAAATTCTCCTTGTCAGCACCTTAGTTAATGTCCAGAGGACAGTATGGAGAATATGAATACTGATCTCAGGGTGTAAAGGGTTAAGAGAAAAAACAAGTTGGTATAAATGTTAATAAATTCAAGAAGCTTCTATATTGGGCATCTAAGAACTCCTTTTTTCATACTATTGTTAATATTCCATCTGAAGTAAAAATCACTGAGTACACTGGATCATTTTAAAGTACATTAGATTTGTAGTTGTGTTCAAATTTTGACTGCTATTAAGTTATATCTTATAGTATATCCCTACTACCACCCTCACACCTACTCTTAGGTGGGGGGTCAGCTTCAAATTAAGATTAAGTTCTTCTCCTATTTGCATCCTTTTTGCATTTTTTAAATATAATCTTAAGGTTACTGTGAACCTTCAAGGGTCACATTTTGTGAAAAAAAAATTGCACACATTCTCCAGCTGAAACATTTACCTGTAGTTTGCTGAAAAAAATCTAAAATCATAAAATGATGTCAAGAAATCAAGACTGTTTTTGATAATAGTTAATAAATAGCTGCTGCAGGTGTTATCATTGTAACTTAAGCTACTCCTTTGCTTCTTTTGCAGTAAACTTTATTTGTGGACTCCAATTACAAAGATGTGCACATTTAGTGTGGTCCAAAGAGGCTTGCTGCATCACAACAGTAAAGGTGAATTCTGGAGCAATAGTCCGCAAATAAATGATAAGAGTTCATTGAAAAGATAGAAAACTGATAAAAAAAGTCGTTAGATATCCAGGATTTTAAATTCACAGCAACATTTTGTTTGAGATTGGTGGTAGTTTGATTCTGGTTGCTTTATCTTGCCTTTAAATTCACTGCCACATTTTGTTTTGTTTGGGATTGGCAGTAGTTTGACTCTGGCCACTTAAGTTTCACTGTTGGTTCCCCAACTTCTCTGCTCTTTCCCCGGTAAGTGCTCCATTTTTTTAGCTCTATTCCACTCCCTTTACCCTTTCTATTGGACATCACTTTCCCCTTTATGAATTGCAATTTGACTGCAAAATAATAGACTTTTTGACATGCAAAATCAGGGTTTATTTCAGCATATATTCCCTTAAATTCCGTACATTTTGATAGAAGTATGTAGATTTTACATAATTTTTACAAAACTTGGCTAAAATGTTAATTGGCTGTTAAAACGCCAAGGCATGTGGGGCTTTTTCAATATTGCAAGTCATTGTGTCAAGTTCAAAGTGGAGTTTGTTGGCAACCAAAAAAGCCCCTCACACTTTTTCATTCCATCTAATTGGCACTGTACAGTTTATCTGACCCTGCCTACGAACAAGGTAATTCAATTTGTCAAACATCATCATTTTTCGCTTACCATGAAGCCAAATCTTTAAAATATTAATTTCTTCCGATTCTTTATTAGTGACTTTACAAGGCGTGCGTAAGAACGAGTACGTGGAAGACACCCCTGAAAGTCTACAATAACCTTAATATAAATATAATCAATAAACGGAGTAGGTTTCTGCAGAACTCTGACGAAGGGCTAACACTCGAAACTTGAAACTCTTAACGGTGGCCAATTTACGTTATCAACTCAGTTGATAATACCAAATTACTTATAAATAAAGTTGTTATAATCATGAATAAATTGATTAATTAATCAATATTAGGAATTTATGATTATCTGTTGAGCTGCCATTTCTCATTTGTAGGACCAACCTCTTCTTCATAAAATTAGATAAATAAATTGAAATAAAGACCGAATACTTACCTACAAATTTCCATAAATCTTCATTTCAGCCGCCATTTTGTTTTCTCCGCTGACTTTAATGTATCGTAGGACGATTCAAATCGCAAAGAATCCTGGGATGCGGTCTCTTTCCTTCTCATCGCCATCATGGTTTGTATCGTGAATTTGATGTGAAATCTTCTATCCAATTCAATCGTTGTCAATTATGCCATAATTTTTGGAATAAAGTATCTGGAAGGGGAAGAACAATCCTTAAACTATTGTACTGGTGTATTATTTTCCAGGCTCGGGGTCCAAAGAAGCATTTAAAGCGCTTAAATGCACCGCATCATTGGATGCTTGATAAATTGTCTGGTAAATTTGTAAGTATGGCTTTTGAAATACCTTCATATTGGATCATACTTATATAGAAGTCTTGAAGAAGATAGGTTTTTATCTAAGGCTGTCCAAAATTAAGACAGAGAACAAATGTCAGAGCAACAAGTTGATATATATATATATTTCGATAAGATAGGTCCTTCCATCTCACTGTTCTTCTTCTTGTTGTGAGAGAAGATCAAAACATTTGATCTCGGAATGGAATCTTTATGAGTATTATTTAAACGTTCAAAGTGAATTTGAATAGTACATTGTGTTGCTCGTGTCGCTTCCCTTATCTTTTCTCACACTTTTTTCTTCCACTGGGAGAATACTTAGTTTGCAAGCAAAGCACAGAAACAACCATCAGAATTGTTCATTTTTGTGCTTGTGCTTATAGTATTAATTAATTGAGACAACCAGTGGGCAGTTAGTTCTCTTACTTTGTAAAGCTTTAAAAATTTATTGCAAAACGTGTTTGTTTTTGTTTGAATTTATAGTTGTGTTATTAAAAAAAACTATTCTCAAGAAAGATAATGCAGTCATTATTATTATTATTTTGTTTTTTTGTAGGCACCACGTCCATCCACTGGTCCCCATAAATTGCGTGAATGTTTGCCATTGATTGTTTTTCTGAGGAATCGCCTCAAGTATGCCCTCACATATGATGAGGTGAAAAAAATCCTCAAGCAGAGGTTGATCAAGGTTGATGGGAAAGTCAGGACTGATGTCACCTACCCAGCTGGCTTTATGGGTAAGATGTCTTTGTTTATTGTGTTAGCTGAGGTTTAACCCTTAAATCCTTAAGAGTGACGAGCATCTAATTTCTCCTCCCAATATCATCCTTAAATCAAATGTTAGGGTCACAAACATAAAGGAAATGATCAGGAACTAAAGAAGCTTTAAACTGTTAATCAAATTCTCCTCAGCAGAACCTTAGAAAATGTATAGAGAACAGTATGGAGAATATACATCCTAATGTTGAGGTGTGGTTCAATTCCAATGTATATTTCTGAGACTCCTCTTTATACATATATTTACGAGAGAAAAAATTTGCAATAAGCCTTTTACCCATTACCTCAGAAATGTTTTCATTTTGGGGAGAAATGGAAAACTTAAATTTGAGGAAGTTATGAGGGTTGAAATTTGTTCTCTTCGTTTCCTCTTTACATGATTGTAAATATTGCCATTTTTTTGGTCAGGATAACTCTCTTGTGATCATGCCAAAATTATCAGCTGAATAGTGAGACTACTGCCCCCCCCCCTTGCTTTTAAACAAACATTTCCTAGTATACAGTTGTTTTATGTCTGTTGTCTACACTAGCAATTAAGGATCTACCCTAAGTCCAGGTAAAATTACCTCTTTCCTCCAGTGCTATTATTACAAGGTACTGAATAGTTTTTAAGCTATGCTTGCTGTCATAGGGTGAGTAAATATCCACTATGGCTGAATTAAGGATATAAACTCAATTGATCAGCCAATACTAAATTTCATTTTGGCAATTAGTGTACTGTTATGATTTTCATGTTGAAGAGTAACTCCCAAAGTAACAAATACCTCATACTCTTTTCCCTGGACAATCTAGATGTCATCTCCATCGAAAAGACTGGTGAGAATTTCCGCCTGTTGTACGATGTGAAAGGTCGCTTCACTGTTCACCGCATTACTGGTGAGGAAGCCAAGGTGAGTTGCACAATAACATATGCCTATCCAAGGATTTTTAATAACCTCCTTTTAATAAGAAATACTCCATTTTATAAATAGCATGAGAAACAAGCTGTCATAAAATACAAGCTTTAGATTTGGCAAGATTTTTTCTTTAAAAAATAAAGGGAACTTTAATTGTAGTTTGGCTTGAGTTGTTCTTTGATCATTTGTATTTATGCCAACCACCATGAACTCTTCCTAAAAATTGAGCCTTTAGCAAGGAGTTGTTGTGTACACCTGAACTGTTGCTGCTTACTCTAATAGACATGAATGAAAAAAAATTATCATTAGATATTTGCTTAAGGGAGATAAAAGAAGTTCAGGACTTGACCATCAACTCTGCATATTGACAGGTTTCATTTTATATCTTTGAACTTATCCACTAGTCTATCCAGACACAAAGTGACACAAATTTACACATGATTGTGTTTCAATGCTACACATGTCCAAAGCAGTCAGTTATGGTGAGTAACATATGACTTTGGGCTTGCTCCTTTTTTTGTTTGACTTTGCAGTACAAGCTTGGTCAAGTGCGACGCGTGGCCACTGGCGCCAAGGGTGTTCCCTACCTTGTTACCCATGATGGTCGTACCATCCGTTATCCTGACCCTCTTATCTCTCTGCACGACACTGTGGTAATTGAAATCAAGAGTGGTAAGATCATTGACTTTATCAAGTTTGACACTGGAAATCTCGCTATGGTTGTTGGAGGACGCAACATGGGCCGAGTTGGAATTGTTACTCATCGTGAGAGACATGCAGGTGTGAAATTGATAGTTTGGGCAACTGAAACTAGAAGAGCAATTCTTTTTTTCTGTCCTATCTTCTGTAAACAGGGCTGCATAATGTGCATGTTATGCTAGAGATCTTAGGCCTAGCTCAAAGAATTTACTCTTTAAAATAGGATGGAGTATCTTGTGTTAGATCATTTGGAACTTTCACAAGGAGTTTTCAAATGAGTGGTTGATTGAACTTTAAAAATCCAAACAGACATACATGCAAAAAGTCTTTTCATCACTGGGTTAGGATTCATCGAGAAAATATTTTGTTTCATTTAAAATGCAATAAAGTGTAATTAAAAGGACTTGAATTCAAACAGACTCCAAGGTTTATAGGTCCTCTCAGGTCCATTCCTGGCCAGACCGCCTTCAAAACCATAGACAATCAAGAAATGAAAAACAGTCTGAGAAAGTGCTTTAAGTTTAGTAGCACAAGATATTAGCTTCTGAAAAAGCTTTCAAACTGATGCCATTCAACCAATATCTTAGTTAGTGTACATCATTTCCAGGTTCATTTGACATTGTCCATGTGAAAGACAACACTGGCCATCAGTTTGCCACGCGTATCAGTAACATCTTCATCATTGGCAAGACCAACAAGCCACATGTGTCCCTGCCCAAGGGCAAGGGTGTCAGGCTTACTATTGCTGAGGAGCGAGACAGAAGACTGCAGGAGAAGGCCAAAATGAGCTCCATGTAAATTGTTACTGAAGGACCACAAATAAAAGTTCTACCATTACAACATCTTACAGATTGTATCATGTGATTTATTTTGGTTGTTTTTTGTTCTGATTTGGTCATGTTTTTGCATGTTTCTTTATTTTTGTTAGTTGGTTGGTTTCTTTGTTTTTCTCTCTCTTATTTTGGGAAGGGGAGCTACTAATGATCAGAGCAAGTAAAGTCTGATTTGTAATGGTTTTATAGGACTGAATGGGGTTCAATTCAGGTTATAATCATACAAGTGAGTGACAAATCCGCAAAGGAGCACAATTTATTAATCACAGGTATGATTAAAGACAGAATTGGATGTCACGATGTCCAGTGACCAATTAACCAAAACTATGACAAGATTTGACTGCTCCTTTGTTCAATAATCTGTCAGTCAGGAAGTGTATTTAGTTCCCAAACTTGGACTGAGAGAGATGCGCATTGTTATGAAGTACCCTTTTGTACATTCGTTTTATAAAACCATTTGTTAATGACAAAAGACTTTCGACGAAATTTCACTTCATTTCCCTAAATGAAAAAGATTTCTGATTTATCGTATAGGGACAAGGAGATCCCTCATCAATTAAGAAAGTCACGCGGTGAATATCACCTTGATATTTTGCTGGTGAATATGACATGTCTTAAAGCAAACGTCCTTTAGCTGAAAAAGGAAAATATTCCCCTCCTATCAAGTAAATGCTGCAAGCAGTCGATATGTACGGTGGTGAAATTTTGAATCCGTGATCACGCGCAGCTTGTGCAAGTCTGTCAACCATTGCAAAGTCCCTCCTGTCAAGCTCAACAAAGCGGTCAAACGTCGAGCATGCGCGAGGGGATCAATTCAAGCCGGCCGCGCGCCAATTTCCCTTGCAAAATTTTAAAGGAAAACTTTAGAAACAACTGATGTCTCGCGAAATAAGTGAAATAAAATTGAAACGTTTGTTGAAATCTGTAAAAGGAAGCCATAGTTGGGAAAGGGAAACTCGAAACTTTTCGAAGGCTTATTCAAGTACGTGTATCCCATTGATTTACTCATTCCATTTTGAGCTTATCAAAATGTTGCAGGTTTTTAAAAACAGCGCAACTTACTGGTTTGTGTGGTCGATTGTAACCCGCGTGAGACAACCTGATTCTGTCAACCTGACAGCGAGCTCTCTAACCTTTAAAATATTTGCTCATGCGCAGACATTGGCTGATGTGCTGTTAAGCACATGCTGACATGTCGCGTTTAGTGACGTCAAAGACATTTATGATGTCACAACATAAACACGAACGTAACCACTGAAATTTCTTGACTTACTCGGTGCAATGGAAAATTCGTCTTCCAGGTTCTTTAAAGGTTTCTCACTTGAGGATTACAAGCTGCAAGTTCTTTTTAACACACTAGAGAAGGAGAAAAAGCAATATTTGAATCAGTTGAAGGAGCAAACACATGTATTCAAAATGTCACTCCGTCCGACAGTGAAGTCAGGCGAAGAATATTGGAGCCAGTATGGAGAGAACTATCACGCCAATGGTGACAAAAGAGAAAAAGATTCTGTAACTCATCTGAGTACAGAACTCAAGGAAGGTCGGTTGACTCTTGTTTTACCTTTTTTTTTTCTTTTTGCTGCTGTTAGTTGGGCAACCATGCAGCTTCCCGACGCTGTTATATTCGACATAATCAAGCGCATCACACCTTTCATTACGCGTTTGGAGCTAATTTGTCATGCAAGTGCACTGCATTTACTACCTGAAAAGACAAGAGGACGTTGAATATTGCATTTTTCGCTCTGTGATTGGCTCATAAAACTCATAACACCGTCTCAACCATTCAGATATAAAACTGAAACCATTTTTGATTCGGGTTTAGGCAATAGTGCTGTGAGATTTCATCGGCTCCTTGTGGTATTCCCTTTTGATGCGACTGGTGTGGTGATTATTGTATCGAAATGCACTTTATGGCTTTCAGATGGTCAAATTACGCTCAGATTATACAGGCTCCACCATCACTCTGCTAATGCCATGTTTCTGAATTTACTTCAGCAAACCCTGAGCCTAAAATGTTTCTTTGTCCTCAGTAGTGTCAGAGAAGAAGGAGCCGATCCCTTTTCGCGTCTAAATTTATGTAATTACAGTGGAAAATGTAGCTCTTTATGAGTTTGTCTTGCATTCTTTTACAACTTCGCGACTAAGACTTTTTTTTTGCTCTCCCACAAGAACTGAACAAGAACAACACCGTGACTGTCAATGAGGGAACCAACCCCATGATTACCAGCTCAGCAGCAGCTGAGCACGATGGATTGAATCCATGTGATAAAAGACCAAGATACCTGCAAAGGGACGAGGGTAAACAAAATGCTGACAGAAAAGCTCAGGCAAAGAAAAAGTCAGAGTCAACAGGCTTAACACTACTAGAAATACTATGTTCCGACGTTGAAAACGGCGTCCTACTAACGACGACTAGAAGTCATAGCAACTCGGATCTTGAAGCTGGCGAAAAATGCTTGAAGGAAGGTGTTAGTCGAATTCGATCACAATCAAATCAAGAAAAAAGACTCAAAGCCGTAGGCCAACCGGACGTCAGAGGTCGATCCACTTTTTCTAGTTCTGCGACAGTACATGACTTTGAGAACTCTCTGAAATCACCATCAGTAAATACGTCGACGGACCTAAGCTCTAGGTTAACTGACACCTCAAAGCTAGAGAGATCTGCACAAGATCTAAATTTGACTTCTGTGCATTCCAAAAACGATTTCTGGCTTAGTGAAATCACAACAAGTTCGCAGTCAACAGAAAACAGTATCAAAGAGGACACGGCATACGATTCAGAACCCTCTGGGAACTCTAGCGCCTCAAAGAACGAATGGAGCCAGGACACTGATAGGTCGGGAAGTCGCAGATTCGTGCATTTTAACGATGGGCGTAAGCTTAAAAAGCAAAAAAGCAAAAAGGAGAACTCGGGTGCGAAACAAGCCAAAGGGAAAGTGAACAGGACTAGAAGTTTGGACGTTAAACTTTTCCAAGTTGATGTTTCACAAGATTCGAAAGGAAGAAAATCGCAGGTGAGGAAAATTGGTAACGATGAAATTAAGGTGGCTCCTGAAATCTTGTTCAAATTGATTGCTACTCTGTCACGGAATGGTGAGGATCGCCAAGCTCATCATATTTTTGGGACATTGTTTTTTTTCATAGCTCAGGTATAGCTGCATGGACAAACCACGCTGGGCGGTAGGCACCAAGAGTCTTCAATCTCAAAAGCTTTTTTCTTAGTATGCTTCTTCTCTGCTGTTACAACTTCTGTGTTATTACTGTAAATCACCATGAAGCTACGTGCCTACGTACTTTCTTGTTTATGTTCTTTAACCTTGATGGTTGAAGATCATTAATCGACGCGCAACATTTAAGCCAACACATCGTCAGGCGTTGCCTCATCTGGTTACACCCGAGATGGTGGCACACAAAAGAGCTAGTGTAACGAGTAAAACACTCCAAGAAAACAAGTTTAAATCTCGAAGATAACTTAAGTAGTCTGAAAAACACCAACAAATGTGAACTTTATGCTGATAACAGGCCAAACAATTCGAATAAATGTAACTTTCAAAACAGTATGGATTATGGACGCATCAAAATCGTGAATGGGTTAACAAGAATCTGAAACTGAATAGTAGATAGCTTAAACATCGTTAGCAGCCAAATAAATTAAACGAAAGTTTTGAGCGCAAACAAAGCTTTGCAAAGTACACTTACCTAGTGGTAAGAATAAAGGAAGTTTCTACCTCTCAGATTTTCTCGTGGCTCCATGTTTTTATTGACTCGCTCGAAGGGGCTTGACGGGTGAGGATTGTGCTGGAAAAGGGGGACTGCTCTTTGGTTGCGGGTCCGATTTACTTTCTAAGAATTGAAAAAGAAAAAGAAAAAAAGAAAGATGAGAAACCTTTGGATGAGAACCTTTTGGATGAGAGCCTCTCTCTTCCAGAGCTAGTGGTATAGATAGGAGTTTGTATTTGAAACTGTCACATCCACCCCCCTCTCCACACCCCCTAATACCACACCCTGTGCCTATTTCCGTTTCAGTGCGCCTGATAGATTAATGATAATAACTTCTTCACTCTCTCGTTTCAGGAAGAAATAGCCAAGGACACCAGGGAGAGAATGGATCAATTCTTTGCCAAAGTAGATCGCACGAAGAATTTTCAAACAAATAGGCTAAGATGGCGTTGTACCAGTGGCAACCGCGAACGTAGCACTTGGAGAAGCGAAAAGAAGACATGTTCAGAACAGGGAAAATTTCTTCCTCAAGAAGCAAAGAATGTAAAAGGCTACCGTCGAGCTCATCCGTGGCCAACTCAAGTTTGGAGCTAAACTGAAAAGGTTTTTTACGAAGTTCAACTTCTAGTATTAATATCATTGTATGATGTACTCTTTGTTACATCCGGATCACACACTTAATTTTAATGCCCTTGCTAATTGTCCTCGTTTGGTGCTGTTTACTTCAATTCAAAGTAAACCTTTTTGAAGCTGAATTTTTTTTTCGGTTAATAAACACGAGCGAGATAGCATACTTTCCTTGTCTTTAACTAGTTACAGCAGCATTCAGTCCGAGCTGTCGTTACCACAGTCCTCGAGCTATACCTTCAAAATGTTTCCTCGCACTCGGGCAAGAGATTGAAAACTGTTTATAACCTCTTGATTCGGGTCAAACATTTACATCGAAGCAAATTGGTTAAATGTTATTTTTGAGGTTGCACAAAGTGATTCATGACTCTCCAACAGTCCATTACGAACACATTTTAAAACGACACTGTAGTTTCAAGTATTTTTTTTTGCGACGTCCAAAACTGCCTTTGACATAAAGGAGACGGTGATAAATTTTGTCGCTTAGACAGAAAAACACATAGGAGATAAAAATAAACTAAAGATGATTAAACTAGCGAAGATTAAAATAGATTGCTAATGAAACCCTGAAAAAAGTATAACCTTGCAATTCCAAGATGCGCAAACGGCAAACAACTCTTAATTTTCCGCAGCAAGACAATAAAATGATTATGTGACAGTCTGATTTGCACGGAAAATATCTTAAGACAACAAGACTTTTTCATGTAACAAAGATTCTTTATTTAGCAACTACAATGAGTCAAGAATTCGTGCTATCTTTTTCTTTCTCTCTTCCATCTGTAAACTGGTGTAGATTTTTCATCTTTCTGTATTTTCACTCGTCTGCCTTTGCCCTGAAAACAAGCACATGATCTTTGTCAGAACATAAAACTGTTAATTTCAAAGCAACACGTATAAAATGGTAAAGATCAATGCTCCAGTGGAAGGCTACTCTAATTGTTCGAAAGCGATTACGCAAAATTATCTTCGGAAAATAGGCGACCACCACCAAACGGAAACTCTCAACTCCAAAGCGAATAAATCTCATAAAACGCGACTCCGAAAAAAAAAACGCGAAAATCGCACGCGTAAGAATTGCTCATCATGTGTTTTCAAATTTAAAAAATCTCAGAGCGCGCGCGCGCGCCATTTGCGCGTCACACCAGTTCGGTGTGAGTAAGAGTTTGCAGCTTTTACTCATTGTAATCTCATCACTACATTTAACTACATTAACTTCAAATCAAAGAGTTGTGTTAAGTAACATGACAATGAACTTCATTGTTTACTTATGAGGTATCTGCGCTTGAAATGAGCCCTGGGCTATCAGTTCTCTACTACTGTTCTCAAAACTAAATGTTCGAAGATGTTTCAGTTTGGAAGCTTTCCTAAAAAGAATGTTTTTTTCGTGGTATCTCATACCATAAGGTGCTTCTGAAGCTCCAGTTCCTCAGTGACCTTTTGCAATTTCTTCTCCCGTTCAATTCGCTCTCTTAACTCTTCATAACAACGATGCCTTTGTTTTTCAAGTCTCTGCGAAAAAAAAAAACAGGTCATTTTACATACTTAACATGATAAAACAGAAGGATCAAAGCAGACAACATAACTTCAGTAAGGGTAGCTTAGGTCCATACCCATTCCATACCCATAAGGGTTGGGTGGGGTTATTTTCGTTCTGTGACTAAACTACGGGGATAAGGAAAGGCACTAAAAATTAAACAGAGGTTTTATCAACTGAGTTAAAGATAATGTAAATTTTATCAATTGAGTTGATAATGTAAAGAGAATCTAAAAAAGCTCCAAAACTGAGTTTTCGAGCGTTAGCCCTTCGTCAGAGCAAATTGAAGAATTTTGGGTTGTGTGTGGTTAATCTACAGAGAGATGGAGTTAAGCTATTGGTGATAACATGGTAATGTGAAAAACACAAGAGCACATTCAAATAAGTTGAATGAGAAGCGTTCGTTGATAACATGGGGATTAAGAATGCCGATTTCGAAGGTAAATTTGCGTTCTAAAGTTTTGCGGCTTTCAGAAGTGCCTAGATGAAGGGAAAGGCCGCACCCCAACCTTGAGTCTGACCCATTTTCATCAACAGCTTCAAGAAAGAATAATGAAATTCATACACATTTCTTAGATAGTACTATCAAATCCCTATCCCCTTCCAAAAAAAAAGCAAAAAATCACTTTTCATGTACCTTAACAGTGTGGTCATCTGGAGTCTGCACGAGATGTCTTTTTAGTGTTTCCTTTCTGGGCCTGTTGTATGTTCTTGACACAAGTTCTGGTACAGTATCAAAATGTGCAGCAGCATCAAAAGACTGAGCTAATGAACAAAAATAAAAGAATTGTTGAAATTACAAACAATCCAGGGCTCAAAATAACGGCCAGTCGACGGACCATGACCAGTCAAATAAAGGTTTTGTACGGTCAACTCCATGGATGGCAGGACATTTGTCCAGCTGTTTACGTGTGTAAAGAAAAATTTAATTCTGGGCTAACTTCAGATTTAAATACGGTTTTTTATATAAACATCAATGAAATACCATATGAACTTTTGCCTGAAAACATGATATCTTCGCAAGTGAAAATGATATGTTATGCTCACACGTGAAAAAAACACTATTTCTTTGAGGGAGAAATATAATTGTTTGTTTCACAATGTGGTCACTTCAGATGTGGAGTGCAACGTTTTGACGTTTTCATAGCAAAAAATTAACACAATTTTCAAGATGTACTTGAGGCTAAGAGGACTAAGGCACAAAATTGCCATTTTGGATGAAGGTTCATAAAATGCATGTATATAATAATAATATTAATAGTAACAATAATAATGATTCAGCAGTGAACATTCCACTAGGTGGCTCTTCCTGTCCACTGTTCCAGGTTAATTTGGATTGAGGGAGAGAAACTGGAGGACCTGGAGAAAAACCCTTTGAGTAAGGAGGAGAACCAAGCCACATGTGATGCCAGGTCCTGCATTGAACCTGCACCACAGTGGTGGGAAACAAATGCTCTCACCACATGCTTACCACCACTGCTCTCACCACTGGGCTATCTCTGCTCCCTACTCCCTCTAATATGTAATGCCTAGATGTATTTCATACCTTCTTTTTCACTATCCACAAAAACTACATGCTGATTCACAGGACATTCACAGTCATCTTCCAACAAATGAAGACTAGCTTGAAGTTTTTCTATTTTCTGGTTAAAGAGAGTAATATCTGTTTGAGAGCATTGCGATTGTCAGGCAGGCTCCATGAAAATATGCTCACAATCATGCACAGTTCACTGGACATGTGTACCAGAGAATTTACCTCAGTCATTCATTGTTTGTACATGTATGTAGACCTAATTGATCACTACCCAAATGAGACTTTTCAGGGCCAATAACAACAGATTAGAAATTGGTTGTATACAAAGTGTAACCAACAGACTGAATTCAGAGCAAGAGTAAACAAATACAGTGAGTGGCTGGGGTGGGGGCTTGAACCCAGGACCACTAGATTACAATACCAGTCCCTAACCACTCATCCACACTGCCTCTTTATTCAGACACTAACTTAGGCCAGCCAGTCTTGGAGACTGAAACCTGCCTTAGACTGACTCTGTTCACCATGTGAAATATTTTAACCACTTGCATCAAGTTTTGTATTCATTTACCTTTGCTTCCATGGATCTTTTAGAACTAACATAGTTCAGGTCCTGTGTTTTCATGTGCTTCAGAGCCTTAGCAGTGTGTGTCTTTCCTCTCTTTGCATGGTGGATTCCATCCTACAGTTCAGAACCATTTATTGTTAACCCAATGATCCCTAAGCTCACAAGAATTAAAAAAACCACCAACTAAAGAAGATCTTGATTGTTTAATAAATTCTACTTGTCTGGGACTAAGGAGAACAATGTGGAAAATATACATGCTGGCAGTATCAGTGGCGGCGTAAAAGGTTTAACATTAGCATTATTTCACAACCAGCTCCTTAACCCTTTAACTCCCAAGATCTGATTGTTAATTCTCCCCTCTAGCTACTACACATTTCCTTGTAGATTGATCTATAGGGAGAAGTTACAAGATAATCACTTCCTTTACCCCATGCATTATTCCTCCATGTATCATTCAAACGAAAGAGGTAATGAGTAGAATACATGATATGATTCAATTTGATTTCATATTAAATTCTCAGGGCTAAAATCATACAAAATCTGGGACTGACAGAGACAATAATTGATACTTAAAATTTCACAAGTAGTGATAGGGTTAACAGTCTTGCCACTGTTACCAGGGTCAATTAAAAACCAGACCAAATATGACAAAAAAGATTCAGATGGAAGCTGCCACTCCTTTCCTGTCAACAGTTTAGTGACTTTTGCGAAAATGACTCTGATAACAGTAGCTGCACTGTAACAAAGTCAAAATGAAACAGCAGAAAAATATAAGTTTCCTTACCTTGGTTTTGCTGCTGATCATCTTGAAGTAAAATTCATCTGGATTCTTGTTTAATGCCTGACAGCAGTGAAAGAAAAATTATATATCTAAGTGGCACTTTCAATTTGAAATTACTATTTTGCAAAGTGTTATTTTTATGACAAATGACTTTCTCCATTGAAATAACATTTGATACCAATAGGTCACAAATACAAATGGTATCACCACAATGAAAAATAAACTCACTTTCTCTCTCAGAAGTTTGAGATGATCTTGCTTTTTGTGATAGTCTCTGTAAAAAATAAAAATAATGATAATCAAAATAACATCCTGACTTCTGGTTAGTATGTGGGTAAATAAGATACCCTGCTATGAAGAGAATTTGTGTGAGATACAATTTGGCATACTGGACGCTACAATAAGAGGTACCAGTTCAAGCTCTGCCTGCCTTGCTTTCTTGGCATCTTGAGCAAGTAAGTTACATTAAGAAAGAGCATCGTTTGTCTTGTCTTGTCATTACAGTAGCCACCCTCGGCCTCCTGGCTCTTTAATGCTACAGAAACGAAGCATGAGCACTCAAATTCAATGGTAGCTCGAGCAAGTCTGTTAAATACATCTGTGGGCGACCCTCACCTTGCACGCAAGACATAATCTTTATGCTTTTCAAGAAGACCATACTTCTTTCTGCTTTTCAACTGAAAAATAATTTTGAAAATATAAATTTTAAGTTTGCGAGTGTTTTGTGACGAAGTTGTTTAATTATTTAAATTCTATAATCTGAGAGTTAATTCCCAAATTGTATTCTATTACAGAAGGGTTGACTCTTTTGTAAAGATAAAAATTCAACCACTCTTAGCTAGCGCTTTTCCAGCGAACAATTAAATGGTACTGGTAATTTGAAATCAAATTTGGAAAGATTAATTTTTTAATTTGCTTCCCTGTCACAGCTAAAATCTAAAAACCTCTGGTGCGTGTTGAGAATTCAGGAACTGCCAAACAATTATTTAAAACAGAATCAATGGAGTCTAAGTACATGTGTTAAAGCTTACAGACGATATGTGATTGCTTTTGTTTGATGAATTTGTCTTGAACTGATCTCGCCATTTACATGAATTCAACAAATTTCTTTGACTTATATCAATTTTCACTACTTGGAGCTGCATCTATGGAGAGATTTCGATCGTACCTGTCCCCTTTCTTTATGAAACTTCTGATAAGACTTCTTAGCCTTCTCGAAAGACGCCATCTTTGAAATTCATTCAGAGCCCGCGATTTTAGGAGGTCCTTGGTTACAATTTGAGCTATAGCTTTGTGTAAAATATCGTGGTCTATACCGGGGACTGGTACTAAGTCTTACTCGCTCATTCGGTAACTTTGCGCGCCATGTGCGGAGGTAATTTTGTGAAATGGCGAGTATTGGAGAAACGGTTGTTAAATATGTAGGGCACAAGGTATCGAAAGCTCGATGGATTCCTCAAGAAAAGGGCCAGTTGAATGCCTCCGACACATTTGTTACAGGCGGCTGGGACGACCAGGCAAGTGGACTCTTCTTAAACAATCTTACTTTCGAAGATTTGACAGTTATGTTGTAGGGAAGAAATTATTTGTAAGACTTTCTGTATTTTTTCTGTTTAGGTTAACAAATTATCCATCTGGAAAAATGAGGAGCCAAGTGGAGAATCAGCTGCCTCCTTCGCTGTCGCAAATGAACCAAAATTGTTGTGTGACACTAATTTTATTGGAGATGTAACGGACATCGAGGTAAATTATACAAAATGGTTAGCAAGTCAATATGCTCAACTCATCAATGAGCTATGAAGTATATTATTGATGATTATATTCCATTTTACGCTATTTAACCCTTTCACTAGCACAAATGATGTCTATCCATTTTTTGTCTCTTTCCTTGTATATGCATTCATTTTGAGCTTGTAGACGTACCCAATAAAGTTGTTAAATAAATAAATAAATACTTGGAATTTCTCCCTATAATATCCATACATTATCAAGTAAACAGGTAATGAGGAGACTAAAATTTATTTAAAAAATTGTTACCTTGATCTAAAACCAAATTCTTGTACCCAATTTACAAGGAAACTAGAGGGGAGAATTAGCATTCAGATCTTACGAGTGAAAGGGTTAAATGCAATCAAATTAAGATCTAGCATTGAGTTTACATGCGATAGACCCTTATAAGGTTCATTGTAAACTTTTAGCATGATATGTAAACCTGACAGCTTATAACTATGCATGTGCATCAACTGATCAAACTGCAAGGCAAGTTAATTGGTTTGATCAGAGTGACTGTTGACTGTCACTACCCCTTGTCAGTGTTTTCTCTTCTTGCCAGACAGTTTGACACTGGCCAACTTATAAAAATTTCTCATCATCATAAGAGCTGTGATGCTCAGATGTTTCTTAAAACAGCATGTGGTTGAGCCTAGTTTTTGTGAAATACGTAGCTTAACAGGAAAGCATGCTCAATACATTGATATTTCAACTTTTTTTGTCCTCAATTTGCTGAATTCAGTCTGCTTTAAGTGTTTAAACCTGACCTAATTAATCTAACTTTCTTTGTTAGTGTATTGATTCAGAGAGAATCCTGGTATCATCTTCAACAGGAAGTGTTCGCCTGTTCCAATATAGTTCAAAACACCAGGTTAGTGTAAAAGGTTTTATAATCCTTGTAAATCCATACTACACAGTACTGGTCTTCAGGTCAACTGATGTGGTTGTGTTCTTGTACAAGGCACTTTGCTCTCCCAGTACTTGTCTCCACATCTGGTAGTATACACAGGTAGTTAATTCAAGTCAGTACTCAAGCCAAGTGCTCCAGCCAGCTAGAGCGTATCTTGGCAGTTTCTACATGAAGCAACTAGGAGTATTACTACTTCCCCCTGGATGGGATGCCAGTCCATCACAAGGTTCCCTCTCCCCCTAAAATTTCACCAGATTCACCCACTGATACCCCTGTGGGGAGAGACACTATAGGTTAAAGTTCTTTTCCCAAGAACACAACCTATGACAGGTCTTGAAACCTGACTGCTCGACCCAGAGTTAAGTGCACTTACCATTATGGTACAGCATCACCCACATTTTGTTCTACTCGTGCTTGCTCTTTAACTCAAGAGTTAAAAGTTGTTCCAGTGAACATCCCACCTGGAACTTTGCAGTGAAATTGTATCCCTGGTTGGTGGAGTTATGCTGCCAGATGCTTTGGAAATCAATTAAAGTTAAATTCTCACTTCCAAAATTTATTGTACAGTAAATTCACAAACCAGGCTCTATTTCATGCAATACTGTTTGATAAGATTCCAAACAAAATTGGTTTTTATTATAACACTGAAGTTGAAAGGAAAGGATATTAAAATCTTTTTGAACTTGTCAGGCCATCAGACCCGAGGTTGAATGGAATTCTCTTCACCATGTTGGAAGTCGTGGCTGTTCATGTACATGTCTTGCTACAAATTCTGGCTCCATTGATGTAGTAACCGCTGGAGAAGACGGAAGGATCAATGTATTGAAACTTGATCAGAGGCATCCAGTTAGATCGATAGGTAAGAATTAACAGAGTTGAAGTAGAGAAAGAGTGTTAGTTGGCAGACTGCAGTAGTATTTGCAGGAAAAAAGTGACATTCGAACCCATGCCTCCCAAATGCCAGTTTGGTGCAACTACCAACTGTACAACAAAGCTATACATTGACAAGCTTTATGCACAACAGCCAACAGGTTTTATTTCAAGGACTGTTTGTTTACCTATCTCTGTTTCAATTTCTCAAACACTATTTATATTTCTCAAGAAGTTGATCAGCCCTTTCAAAATATTCTATGAAATCCCAAGACCTCCTGTAAGATTTCATAAAAGGTTACCATTAAATCATTTTGTTGTGTAAGCATTATCCCCAGATAAGATGTCCTGCAATTTTATTCATTTAAATTATGTGACTGTGAAATCTCATTGTTTTGCCTGTGTTCCCAGATTCTGCCGACAGCACAACTATAAACAGTATTACTTGTATAATGTCACATGAAGTGGCTGCTGTAACATTTGGCGGTCAGCTCAAAGTTTGGGATCTTCGACAACCTGGGAATAAGCCTGGAAGAACAATGTTACTGTGAGTGTCAATTAAACATTGGTTATAGATAACATCATTAATTTATATTTAATGAAGGTTAATGTTTAATCTTCTCAGAAAGGTTAAAAACTCTGGTCTGCTCTATTTATTTTTCTTGTTTTTGTTGTTTTGTTAAAGACTGATAATAACATTGCTTGTCCAACAATGGGGAAAACAATTACTTTATAACAAATGCGGTATGATCAATGAAGCACCCAGGCTTTGTTAGAGGCTGGCAATTTTCAATATAAATTGACCTAAGTTGCTACCAAGCTTGAAATATATCATTTGCAAATTATTTTGTGTACAGTTCAGGGGACCGTGTCTCGCTGCTGTGTGTTGACAAACACCCGATGCAGCCACACCTACTTGCTGCTGGAGGTCAAGATGGTGTACTAAGTATCTGGGATATGCGACAAGAACTTTATCCTGTCACATTATTGGAAGCACATGCAGGAGAAGGTTGGACACCCTTTCCATATTTTTTTTCCTTGCCTTGTCAAGAGTTTGTTAGTTCTAACCCATAACCCTTTAACTCCCAAGATCTCATTAGCAATTCTCCTTACTGTCTACCATACAGCTCTTGCAATGTTAGTTTGAAGAATTTTGTATTGGATCAACTAATAATCCTCTAATTAATATTTGTCTTTATTCTCATCACTTGTCTACTTGCTACTGTATTGATATTGTAAGGAGAAATTCTGTCTTGGTCACTCATGGGAGTTAAAGGGTTAGTGGTAGTAGTTAGTGGAACATAGAGGTTTTTTTAGACTGCTACTAAAAATTTTAGTGGGTTTTGTAATGTGAGTGTTATTTACTCCATCTAACTGTGGCATGCAAACTGTTCAAAATGTGTCATGTGACACTGGTGTCAAAAAATGGAAAGGACATGGACATGTACATGTACTTGATGCATGATACCATTGGGCACGCTGCATGTCTTTAACTCTTTACCCCTTAGCATCAGTATCTATGTTCTCCATACTATTCACTATATGTTTCCCAAGGTGCTGACAAAGAGAATTTGTTTGATAATCAAGAGCTGCTTTAGTTGGTTATCATTTTCCCTTTTCTAATAACCTTATTGTTTGCTTCAAGGGTGATATTGTAAGGAGAAAGTAGATGCTGGTCACTCTTAGGGGTTAAAGGATTAAAAGAAGCCATATGGCTGGCATTCATTTTTGGAGGTTAATATGACCTGTGAGGGTTGGATACAAAGATAACTGAGCACAAAGAAGATTTTGTTTTCTGTGAAAGAATGCAGGAGAGGTGCTGATTGTATTTTGTGTAAGGTGTTGTTCATGCATCAACTGAAGACCACTAACACTTAATAATCTGAAAGTTGGCTGTGGAACACAGGTTGCTAGATTGGTGACTTCTGCTACATTAAGTCCCCAAAATTGTAGTTTTGCTCGAGGGACCTAAAACTTGAAGCTCAGTGAAATGAGCAGGTTTATTTGTGAGATGTGATCGACAGACAAGTTTAGAAGCTTCAGGGTTTGAATGTGAGTGGGATGACACTTTTCAAACTTCTAGTGGTCATTTATTTGTTTTCTTTCTTTTTTTTTTTATAAGTATGGGAAGTGAAATTTCACCCATTAAGCCCAGACAACTTATTCACTTGTTCTGAAGATGGATCCCTCTGGCACTGGGATGGTACTTCTGTGGCTGTCCAGAGCACCACAGGCATGCCAGGTTTTAATTCAAGTCACCTCAGCAGTATTGGCAATGGTGCAGGTGCTGGCGGTGGATATGAGAGTACGAGTCCATGGTTATCGGTGGATGCAACAAAACATAAAATGGAGACATTCTCTCTTCTTCCATATAACAGACTGTCAATTAACTCGCTAGATATTCAATCAATGCACTTGTTAAGTGGAAGTGACTGTGAAGCTATTTTTATTATCAAAGATCTGGTCATTAAATGATTATTTTTTATAATCAAAGCTATTAAAAATGTAATTATCATAATGTTTATACATTGTAACTTTTACAAACTTAATAATATTTAGACTGTACAGTTAACTTTGCAGATCAATTTACAGGAACAGACATTTCCTGGCATAAATTAGCAGCCATCCAACTTTTCACTCTCAAGATCTCATTTGAAATTCTTCTTACTGATTGCCATGCATTTGTTATGTTAGTTTTATCAACTAATAATCCCCTAATTGATATTTTTCTGTATTTCCATCACTTGTCTGCTTGGTATTGTATCGATAGTGTAAGGAGTATGGTATAGATTCAAATTGAACTCTTGAGAGATGATTGCTATTTTTGAAGTCTCTTAGTTTTCTACTTAAAGCATCAAAGATAGCTTTACTCAACAGACACTTGGCCCATTGTTAACCCTGGGGCAAGTGTGGAATTGCCCATAAGGAAGGTGACAGAGACATTGGAAACATCAATCTAATAGCTTGTGAGAGAGAAGCCCTCACACTATTACATATGAAAATTAGCAGCCAATAGTTTAATTGTTTTAACAGGTAGTATAAACCTACTAGTCATTCAAAACCAAGAGCAAAAAAAATCCTCCTATTTTCTCTTGTTCAAAATTTACTGGTAACCACAAGACAGGTCAACATTTTTATTGAATAAAGATACAAATGGGTATGTGCTGAAACGCTCATTTTATTCATTATCCATCATAGAATAGATTGTGAGTGGTGTAACTTATAAGACTGCAAAATTTATGGCAACAGATTTATAGCAATCTCTCTTAGGTTGTCATCCAGAATGCAGGAGAAATACTACGGGGGGGAATTTACTGAATACAAATGGACAGTGAAGGTGGTAGGGAGGGGTGGTTAAAGGAAAGGAGTTCATTGTTGTAAACTGGCAAGGGCTGTGGAGAAAGTGACCTTGAAGCATTCATTCACTTCTATGAAAATGATTGGGAAGTCATTGACAAGTGTAAACACTCTAAGACTCTCTGCCAAACTACTGTGATAGCCCAAAGCTCTAGAGATAATTACTAGCCCTGTGGTACTACTCTCTGATTGTAAAATTATATTTTCTCGAGTTAAACTTTTCTTGTTGCAATGCAAATCCTTTTAGAATTGTATGTGGTAGGTGTTCTGACATACACTGTCTACACATTTCATTTTTATGCATAAAATTATTAACCTGGCCTTAACACATGGTGATTATTTCTAAATGAGCACTTTTTCTCTGTTGTTAATGAGACTGGGATTTTATGAAAGAACTATTGTATTCTATTGTCAAGAATGGTGTTCCCCTGTTTTTAGCAAGTATGTACCATAAACAGTTTTCACTTTCCACTGAGATTGTAGCACTGCAAATCCATTGACATGATTTAGCTCAGTATGATGAGAAATTGAATAACATGCCTTTACTGTGCAGTAGAATTTGAGGCCTCAAGCTGTGTAAAAGAATTCACAAACTGTTGATCTTCTAAAAGAAATGCCTCTGTCATTTATCCAGCTCACTATCATAATTTACAAAACAAGCAAATTTATTGGCGAGGTTCCTGGCATGTATTGGTTGGAACTTGCAAGGTTCTACTCTGAGCAACTTGAAAGCTAAATCTTCCATGATTTGGCCTGAAACCAACAAACACAGTCAAGTAGTACGTTTCAGCATTGCATTCAGGTCAGAAAGCCACCTCTCTCAAGCAAGGTCTATGCATTTCTTTTTCAGCAACTTCAGAGAGTACAATGTTTCATCCCCCAAACATCTTTCTCCCTAATAAACCCTTCACAACTGAACACCAGTTTGTATATTCTCCATACTGTTCTCTATACATTTTCTAAGGTGTGGGCAAGGAGAATTTGTTCAACAATCAAGAGCATCATTAGTTGGTGATCATTCCCTTTATTCTTGTGACCTCTAAGTGTGATTCAGGGGTGACTGAAGGAAGAAATTAGATGTTAGTTACTCAGGGATCAAATGGTTAATAATAATCTTAATTTTCATTATTAGTATGCTCTATTTTATATAAAAAATTTAAGAATGTATCAACACATATTGACAGCACGGCTACTGATAACATGTTTGACTCTATAACTCATGACTGTAATCAAGACAGTTTTGTACTTGTCACTGATACTTACCAGTGCATAAGATAATTTTTTCTTTTCCAAGGTATTTTATTGTCTCTGCAGTTTTTCTGAGGCATTCTTCTGAGAGGAAAGGGGGATCAGCCACAACTATATCAAAGGAGTGCTCAGTGACTGAAGCAGGGAAGTCCAACGGCTTCTTGTAGTCATAGAAAACAAAATCTTCACCAAATACAGAGAATCTTCTGTCATATTCGAAGACTTTTGCTTCACATCCCTCTGGTTTGATTTCAAGTAGTTTTTTGTACAAAGTTGGTGAACAAAGGCAAGCTATTCTGGAATTTAACAAGGAAAATTAGAAGTAACTTTGAATTAGTATAGGTAGCAACATGATTTTGAGTGCAATTTGGCATTGATAAGCACAAGTAAATATTTTCAAAGACAGCAAAACTGCACGAGCATGTAGGGCATGTGAAGATTTCTAGTCTTTGAAAAATTTACAAGTGCATATTTCCACAAAATTGTATGAGAAATCATGTTGTTACTTGTTAATAATTTACATGAAAAACACATCACAGAAAGTCAAGATGGACAAAATTTTAGCAGAACGTGGATGCTATTAGTAATTTGCACTTGTGTTACAGCTTTGCACTCCTGCTACATAAAAAATGTACTTGTTTTTGATCAATAAGACAAGGCAATTTGTTCATGTATATTATTATCATTATAACTGACATTAGCCTATAATTAATGGTCCAATAAGACCCTTCTCCCTTCCTCATGGAAATAAACCACTGGCATTATTATGTGCGTAGTCTTTGGGTATAAAATTTATATTTATTTGAAGGTCTCTACTATTCTGCTTTATATATTATAGGCTTTAAAACAAATAACTGGAAGGTGCACAGGGTATATTTGTCATTTCTGAGTAAAGTCAAAATACAAGTATTGAATTGCATTTGGCTCTTATCAGTTAATCTCTTGTCTGGTGGGGTATGCAACAGCCACATATATAAAGGTCAACATCCAGGTTTACCACCTACACAGGTTCATTTTCATATGTTCTTTGGAAAGACTCTTCTTTCTTAGAGAAAGGACCTCTCTATACAGAAGTTGTGTTCTACTTACCTCCAATCTTTACAACCTAATTTTCCTCACCTGCCATTTTGTGATGCTCTTAGAGCTTCTTCTGCCAATATTGTGGCTGTTCTGTTGTCATACCAAAACTGACTCAATTGCTATGAGAGCAAAAAGCAAAATGAACAATAAACAAGACAAAAAGAACCACAAAACACAAATTGGTTTTTCATGGCCTTCAGAAATTTCCTTGCAAAAGCCTGATTGAGGAGCCCAGAAAAAAAAAGCAATTTGAATCATTTGCTTGATTGACAGACCCAGTCCTCGCTTATTTCCTGATTTTCTTGTGATGCTTCTGATTCCTGCCTTTGTTTCTCTTTAGCATAAAATTCCTGCAAAGCTGCCAGAGTATGAGCCGATAACTGAGGGATATCATCATCGCTTTCACTTCCAACTGGCTGATTTTGCTGAAATTAGACGTGAGAAAGACCACCTTGAAATTAACATATTCAACATATGCAGAGTGCAGTCAATTTTGTGAATGCATGCAATTTAATAGTTTATGTTAAATGAAGTTTATCATTTTGGTAACGGAGTGATTGACGAGCAAGATCGGACAACCACAAGCGGAAGTCAATTTTACTGACACGATTTCTGACATAATTGGATGACACAAAGTCTTGTGACGAACCAATGATGCAAAAAGTCCAAACGTGCGAAGAGAAACCATATGAAAGATTCTGCTGAAGATTCTTCTGAGCACACGTTCTTTGATCGCCAAACTATGTCTGATCGGCTTGAGACCCACAAATTGCAAATGAAACCTGCGAAGCGTAAACTAGTAGGGGCCGAAATAAATTAAAAGGGTATTTGGGTCGATTCCGGTCCTGTAGGCCCTGGGAGTTTGTACTGTACCTTATTGTAGCATTCTTGTTCGTCATCCGCCATGTTGATAAGGTGTAACCAGGCCTAATCTGTGAGCGGCCTCTAAGCTACTAATTAAAAATTAAAAGTTTCCATGACATCAACATACTGGTTATTGTAGTGGTTTTGTATGCACACTTAAAGCCAGCCGCATCTCCCAAACAGCGAGACGCTGTGAGATTCCTTAGCTGTAAGGTGTTCAAGATGAATTATTGTGGATATGAAAATGGAATGACCCATTAGCGGATGCTATCCTCGGACGAAGACGAAATGTCCATCAACTTCGATCCTGCTGTGAAGACACCGGTGAAGATTTTGCGCGAAACGCCGCTAAAGTACCAATCGAACGATCACATAAACAACCTGCAAGAGGAAAAAGAAAACTTCCTCAAGTTTGGTAAAATACCACGGTTCCAGTTCGCCGGCGCTGTGGACTGGCTAGGTACAAATAAGAAGAACAGTGAAATACGATTTGACTTTTTTCAAGAAGCGCGTTACATTTTGGAGCGCGTGAGGGATGTATACGGCGGCGGCGATGTATTTTTTGACGCAGCTTTTGGAGAAAAGATTTTTCTTAGCCAAGCGTCTCAGACTGTCTTACAGTATTTAAAATCACACGGTTTAGATGGTTCTCTGAGTGTATACTGGACAAGTGATTTGAACTGCAGTGGGAAGATGTTTTGGCAAGGACCCAATGTACGCTACAATCGACCCGAAGCACGGAAGTTTAGTTTGTGGCTCAAGAAAAGCAGCGAAAATGTTTATCTCCGAGAACTCGGAATTAAAAGTTTGATGGACCACGAAATTGGCACTCATTTTGTATCCTTTTTCGTCTTTCAAGATTTCATTTCCTGTAAACTTTAAAATCAATTTTAATCGTGTGATCAGAGATTCTGAAATATCATATAATATTTATTCTTCCGGAAAACTGACCATGTAACTTGTTTAAATAGTGAATCACCTCCTGCAAAGGTTTTTCTTAATCAAAGTCACAAACGCTTCATATACTTCATCGCGAGAATCTGTTTCCATAGCACCTCTCGATCTGATCTTAAAAAATTCTCGTAATGTGAATGTTCCCTCTCAGATCTAGAGTGTGTCACGAACTTAAAATTCATATATTTTGCGGTGGAAGCTCATGGCAGCTGAGTTTATTTGAGAATGGGGTTTCATTCATGAGACTGGGGTTTCATTCATGTTCCAATTGTCGTTAAGTCAATAGACTGATTTTGGGAAGAAAAAATTTTCGATCATTGTATCTTTGCGCACGTTTTATTTTGACTCTTAATTCGTAGCACAAGACCGGCGAACGATAAAATCTACTTGTATAACGAGATATCAATTTACTTTTCCTTTGTTTACATAAACTTCTGTTGTTTATGTAGCTGTCAGTCTTTTAAACAACAGGGTACAGTAGAAACATGATGTAAACGTGATGAAGAATTTTCTCGTCTCCTCAACCTTAAACTTACGTTACATAATCGAGAGTAACTTGAGGACTAAGTCGTCCGCTTGCTTTCCTGTCCATAAACACAAATGGAAGTATGGCGTACTGTACATGATCAAGTATTGTACAGAGAATTGGTTCGCTATTTCAGCTTTTGGTTAGCGTACTGTAGAATTCACGACTTCTACCGATGATTATTTACATTGGCTAATGGTAATTTCGATTGTTATGAACTGCCTTTGACACTCTTGGGTGAATGATGCATTGTGTACCATCGTAATTGGCTTTATAAGCTACTGGTGGCAGATTAATTAATCTAATCACTTATTTATAAAACAACTAAACGTTGCGAAGTTGGCTTCCCTCATAAACTCGTCGAGGGAAGTAAACTTGATTTTACAGTGCATTTTTGACCCAGAAGAGAAGGTGCCAAAAAGACATGACATCTAAGACGAACAGGTTCAATTAGGTGAAAAACTTAAGGCTGAGAACAGTTTGTGTAGAGTCCAAACTTATTTATCCAGAAATGCACATCAAGAAATTGCGAATGTTAACGCAAGAAACACCCTGGCAATTCCTTGTTATGTACTTTTTCCCTCCCACAAACGGTCACAGCCTTTCCTACCAGAAGGTCATCCCTTTCCTAGCTGATTTTCCTTAACTCTTCAATCTCGCGTTTCAGCTCAGGGCCACAAATGATGGTTTGCAGCCGTGGTACTCAAACAGGAAGAAATTCGACCTTCGCTCTCCTAGGTCTTACACTGGCAGAGTCAACGAAGAAGGTCTGGCAGCGATCAATACCATTTATCAGGCGCAAGTTAAGATGCTATTTCTGCCAGCGTTACTCTACTGTAAGTATCTATCTTAACCCTTTACTCCCTAGCATCAGTTTGCATATTCTCTATACTGTTCCCTATACATTTACTAAAGGATTTGACGAGGAGAATTTGTTTAACAATCGGGGTGATAATGTAAGGAGAAATAAGATGCTTGTCGCGTGTTTAGTATCATCATAACGAACTTCTTAGTCGCACCGCTCTTTCGACACATCGTTTCAGACACAGCATGTATGTCGACTGAAATGTCCTTCAAGGAGCTGTTTGAGCATCTAGCGATGTACATATACGACCCAGAGCAGCGATGGAAGCAGGTGGTACGGGCCAAGAGGTGTCTCTCCAATTGCAGCGACATTGGAGGCTGTGGATATGATCAGTGCTATTTTGAAGGTATACTTAAATACTGAAGTAGGCGTAAAAACTAGACTGTTTTAAGTTCTTCTGGCCAAACTCAACTGAAATACAAAAAAGATGAGATTCATCGATTTCTGAAAAAAGGAAACATCAAAGAAATTCTGACAAAATAATAGTAATGAAAGAGAAAAGATTCAACATCTTTAAAAAAAAAGAAAGAAAACCTTTGTGCCGGTGGTGGGCGTATATAGTGGATGAAATAATACAAGATGGCGTTAAATTCCGTCCTTCCTCTCGCCCCTTCTTCCCTGTTTTTTGCTTTGACTTGTGATTTTTAATTCATTCTCCTTATCATTTCAGGAGCTGTGACTATTTTGCGTCAAGTGAACGATATCGATTTCAAACTGATGTATGCCGGAAAAATATGTTGCGACGAACTGCAGAGGATCAAGCGCATTGCTCGACAGGGCTGTGTTAAACTACCTCACTTCCTAAAAGACATAGTAGCCTACAAGAAAACACTGAACGAAATTGCTCTAACGAATGGACTCATACAGAAAATTAACAGACCTTTGTTATGCCGAAATAACTCTCGACCTAAAGTGCGCAAAAAGAAATCTCTAGTTTCACCGCAAGATCGAGTCCAGTCCAGAATTTTTAGTTGTCCTAAATCAAGATCGCGAAGTGGTCCGCTTTCAACGACTCTTCCAACAAGGATTTTGCCTCGGCGTTCTGACATGTATAGAAGGCTGTGTACTAGCGTGGCTTCTTTCGCACCTCTGTCATCTTAAGAGAAGAATTAATAATAGAGCTTGCATTGTTTTAAATTGATTACGGTTTTTGAGTCTGGTTGGAATTTATTCAAGGTGTGCGTGTTAATTCTAGCGTGGATAGAAATAAGAACTGATATTGCTGTACATTGCAAAAATTTTTATTAAAAGAAACAATATTTTTTCTTACATTGATTTATATTCAAGACGCCACGCTTCTCCCTGTTATCACGTCCTGAGAAAGCCTTTAACCCAAAAATTCCATTACATTTTAATGATTGGCTTATTTCTGACAGTGTCAACTTGTTACAAGAGATCATTAGTTTACTCAACTCCAAACCATAGAGAAAACTTATCGCACCTACTGGGGGGGAGTTAGTGATGCATGCTTTGTGCATTCCGGTATTATAGCATTTCAATCCAGTACTGTTTCGACAAGAAATTTTCTAGACGTCCTTACAACTTTCATTTCTTAATGATCTTTTTCTGGGTTAAAAAAAGCTCGAGTTTAAATTTAAGTAGATACAAATTTATCTCAACTGGGAATTCCCGTTCTTAGATCCAGGGGTCCTTCCCCCTTGGCTAATCTTTATCTTCCAGGGGAACCTTGTGCTTAGTTTGCGTTAACCGAGTTTACCGTAATACGATGGCTGATCGATGTTTCACCGTTATCAGAAACAGCGTATCTTCTGATAAATATTAGGAAATCTTGAAAGGCCGGTTTTTTAGCCGCGGTGATCTGGGTCAAATAATGCTTTCGCCGGTCAGCCAGCGGAGTTAGCCCATAGAGTTGAAATCCATCATGGGCGCCGGGATCTCACGAGTCACTCGCCTCGTGAGAAAACCCTTGGAAACTCACAGTAGAGTGGAGAAGATATTAGAAAAGAAACCAAAGCCTGCGCCAAAGCACCCTAGTTCAGAAGCTGCAATAGCTAATGCACGAAAACGTGAGTATTTTGAGAGAAAGTGTGGGGTGATTTGCAAAACATTCCTAAATCTCGACCCTTAACGGCATCAAAGTTTGATGTTGATGTGTGAATGTACAATTGTACAGTTCTGACTTACTAGGGATGTACTCGTGTCATCGACATATTAAATGATTTAAAACGCAGTGTAATGTAGATTAAGTTTTGAAAGTTCAGTTGACACACCGTGTTACGTCAATTCGTGTTGTATCTAGTCTCAATATTTGCAAGCTCAACAGAGTTTTAATAAATATTGTCAAATCAACTTCCTCACGAAGATTTTTCGAAAACATTCAGGTGGGAAAATAATTCTGAAACAGAGATTTAGCTCTTTTCATATTTAAATCAAATAATGCAATCAACTCCTTCTAAGGTGAATCATTAGAGGAACAGTATCTTGCGATTGCGTCCATCCTACGAAAGAGTCTGGATACCTGAAAGCTGAAGATCCAATCTGTAGAGAATGGCAGAAATCAACTAGATCTTACTCATGCAAAGCCATTTTGACTCTAAGTGTAGCAAGCTTTTAAGACTAAACTCATTCAGGCATTTGTTTTTCTCTGCAGATTGAATGGTAGTTTTTGACTCTAAAACAAACCCCTCATCCCTATTTCTCTTTTTATCACTCACTTCCTCCCAATGCCCTTAAACTGAAAATCACAGGATTAAACCCATGTAATCCAATGTCCTTCAAGATGGACATATCAAAAAATTACAACATCAACACAATCTTCTTTTTTTCTTTTGGGGAGGAAAAGGGGGAGAGATCTTGTAAAAAGGAAGGGTAAAATTTCCGCACAGCCCCATACTTCATTATGCATTCAGTTCTTGAATAGAGAAAACAATGGCTAAAACAATACATTGCCATTGGGAAAACAGATTTGTTTTACAATAGTATGGGGCTATGCGGAAATTTTACCAAAGGAAGCAGCATAGAGTATGGTTTGTTGATTTCTGTACAATCCTGTAACTGGAGTAAAAGTTAATGTGATCTGCTCCCAAAAAGTCTGGCTGTATTAATAAATCCTGTTTCTGTTTCACAGAAACGATCCACATTTTATGCTCCTGTTCAGCTGGGTAGTGTTAAAAATTAAGTGTATTAATCCAGGGGTTTCATAGAAACTGGTTACCAGCAGTCTTCTGCCTCCTGTGAGACCTTACCTGTTTAGCTTGTGAGCAGGCTCTCTTTTTTGGGTCTTACCTAACAGCTCCTTTTACGATAAGCCATCTATTACACTTTCTACAATAGCTTGTGGAAAAAGTTCTTTAAACTTCCTGATAAATCAGTTTTGGTCTCTAGATAATGAGGAGCTGTTTAAAGAAAGAGACAGAAAAGATGACATCCTTCTAGGCAGACTGAGAGATTTCAAAATAATGGATGCTCAGGAAGGGAAGGTATGAAATTGGAGAGAATGTGTTAACCCTTTAACTCCCATGAGTGACCAAGACAGAATTTCTCCTTACAATATCTATACAATATCAACCAAAGAAGTGATGAGAATGAAGAAAATATCAATTTGGGGACAGTTAGTTGATCCAATACTAAATTCTCTGAACTAACATTATAAGAATTGTAGGGTTGACATTAAGGAGAGTTACAAATTTGATCAAGGAGTTAAAGGGTTAATTCAAGATTGTTCTGTACCAACACCCATAGACTTTCATAGGTGGTGAAGAGTATTAAGTACCATCAGTATCAATTTTGATAACTCATTCCTGTAAGAGCTGTGTGTTCCTGCCATAAACATTATTTATAACCTGATCTCTTGGGAGAAAGAAAGAGGACCATGGTGATAACTCTGTGGTACTTTCATTTTTATTTTTTTATTAGTTTTTTTTCTTAATCATTTGTGATGTGACCACAATCTCCTTTGCCCTCAGCAGGGTACAGAGGAAGAAATTTTTATAACATTTCACTAGTTTTTAGGGAGATGATGTAGGATGATTGAAATTTTTGTAGAAGTGGAGTATTAAGATTGACTTGAGAGTTTGCTGGAAATTTAAGAGTAGACTGGTGGATACAGCTGGCAGTCTAAACAGTGAACATACAGTTTGGCAAGTCTAAGTTCACAACATAGACGATAGCCAGTTTTGAATTACAATCTCTTGATTCACCATGGATGTATTAATTGGATTAATAGATGGAACTGTAAAGACAAACATTTTTTTCGCTGCTGTGTGAGATAGAAAGTTTAGGGCAAATATCATAAGCAAAATAAAGAGTGACACCTATCAATTTGCCCTTTGTCTGGTATTCCTCATGTGAATGCCAACTTCCCACCTGTAAGTCCCTGATGGACCATCTAACCAATCACTCTTGGCGCTTGTTTCAGCCAATCAGTGGAGAGCAGGAGACAAACAGAAAATTACCTATATCCCGCGAGTCGTCGATGTCCCGTCAGGTGGGCGTGGTGCCGAAAGGGAAAATAACCTCAGTCCAATTATCAGAACTTTTTGCGAAGAGATTGGAGGATCCTGACGAGTGGACGAAGTACAAACTTGCGGAGCATTATAAGTTAGACAAGGAAGCTTTATCGTCAGTTTTAAAGTACTATAGTGACTATACAGTGGTGGCCAAAGCAGAACTACCGAGGCCATTACATCCGTCAGTTCTTGGTTGACACAAATGTCTCTGGTGCGATCATTGAAGATGATTGATATTGTACGTCAGGGAAATATCTTACGGGGTTAATTTAGTTGTTTTCGGCAGTCACGCTTTTCGACAGTCACGCTTTTCCCAGTTCCTTAAAAAAAGAGAGGTTCGTTTACGGACAGTATCCATCAATTTAAATTCAATTTACTTTCTGGTGAAATCTGTTGGACCACTATTTTTTCGCGTCAATTCTGAGAAAACAGAAAACAGAAAAGCGACCGTCTTGCGCGGGATTTCGGTCAAGATTTTACGTGTAATAATGTCGTAAGCTCATCTTCAACTATCTGCCACAATTTGACATTGGTACGGCCACAAGAATTTGAAAACGATTTCAGAGTCCTGCGGTTGATGCTGGTGGGATAATGTTTAAATTCATTTAGATTTCCTGTTTTTCGCGCACGAATATAATGATAGTTGCAAACGAACTGTGAAAAGAAAAATAAAGTACAGCATAAAATAAAATCATCGATGCATTCTTGGTTTTCTTTAAGCAAGACCTTAATGAAAATCGAATAACCAAACCCTTTCAACCTTACGACTGACCAGCATCTCATTTCTCCTTACAGAAATACCGCTGAATCATTCATTAACCCTTTACACCCTCATATCAGTATGCATATTCTCCATACTGTTTTCTATACCTTACCTAAGGTGCTGACAAGGAGAATTTGTTTAACAATCAAGAGCTTCTCTGATTGGTGATCATTTCCTTTATTCTCATGACCTTACTGTGTGATGCAGGGGTTATACTGTTGGGAGAAATTAGATGCTAATCACTCTGGGGTTTAAGGGTTAAGATCATGAAAATGAAGGACATGATTGCAAACATAGAAAGCTTTGATTGTTAAACGAATTCTCCTTGTCAGTATCAAATGAAATGTAGAGAGAGGAGTGGGGAGAATATGGATACTGATATTTGGGTGTATATGTTTAAATAACACCTGAAACATTGTCATAAACACGAAAGATAATGCCACCAATCTTATGTCCCATCCGCACCAGTAAAAGAGGTTGGGTTGAACCAATTTTAACTAGATGAAAACTGAACGACTAGATTTTACACGGCACTAAGTAATAGCTAACTTTATTTGCATTGAGCTAAATTTGAAGTCGCAAACATCATTTTAAGCAGATTCTATCATCAAGAAAACCATTTCAAATCACATTTGACAAAACAGCTTTAACACGTTTTAGCTTTTTAAATTGGTTATAGCCTATTATGCACTGTTGACTTCATTTGGTTCAAATGTTTGTATGAGGCTTCAAATCTAAAGTTTTGTTTAAATTCAAAGCACGCATGTGATAACCCTTCTAACCAGCACCCGTCTTGTGCGTGGAAGAATTTTCTTTCAGTAATTTCAAACATTCTGTTTACTCTGGAAGATAATAACTTGGAGGAAATCCTCAGCGTCCGCTTATCCGGATTATTGCGATCAATTTTCTGTTAAACAATTAGCAGAATGAAATCCTAGCCGATTTGTGGCTTACAGTGATTAACGGTTCGATAAGAAGGGAATTTTTTGTGGATTAAAGGTTCCATTGATGTTATATTGTAGTGATTAAGAAGCAAACAATATTAATCCGCGCCTTTGGCTTGTACACAAATATTTTATTGTATTCTAGATTGTTCCTCAAAATATCGGCGAAGGAAGTCTGCTAAATTCAGTTTTGGGTCGGATTTTACCCAGGATATGTGTTTCTGTGCAAGTAGAGAAGAAGTAAGCTCGTGGAAAAACCATTTAAGTGAATCTTGTTCTCAGCCCTATCATTAATATGGTATTCTTATCATAGCAGATTGAAAAAAACGATAATGCTCTTATTAGCCTCTCGATAAATATTTTCACGGAATTTTAATGCTGATATTCGTAATTAAGCAACTATGGTTGTCAATCATTCTGTCGTGTCTCCGCGACCTTCGTGTCTCGAATATTTTCATCAATATTTCAAACTGAAGTTGAAGATAATTTAAAACGTGATGCTCTGCATTGAAGAACTCAATTTCAAAACATACCAAGCGAAGTTGACATCGCTGATATTAGCAACTCGATCAGGAATTATGTCTGTTCAATTAAAGTCTTCGTTATAAGATTCGACTTGATGAGCATTTCCAGAATTTGTTCTTCCTTCCTTGGATGAGTTTGCCATCTGTTAAGGTCCACGGGCCCTTCTGTTTACGAAAAAGAAATGAACTTAGTTCAAACACTGTTGACAAATAAAATGGTAGGTTCACACGTCATCTTAGCCATGGCAAGTTATAACCCTAACATAGGAGACTCACAGAGTCTGCTAATTGCAGTCATTTCCCTAGTTTTGCTGAATGATGATAATAATAATTATGATAAAATAATCTATTATCTTATATCAAACGCGCGCTCGTGGAGTAATTGTTCATTATTATTATTATTATTATTATTATGACATCATTATTGTATAATTAATAGTGTTCAGCGATTTGTCTCTGAAGCTTTGAAAACGCAGACGCTTCAGTATTCTTGGGACGCTACATCCCGTAAAACATTCCCTTTTCACATGTTTCCTTCAAACCTTCAGTCATATATTAAAAGAAATAGATATCGAAAGGAGTATGTCTCCACTTTTTGTCGAAATGATCCTCCCTTGGATTTAACGAATGCTTTTTTGTTTCTTTGTTTTGAGTCACTCGAGAACATAATGAGCACATAGGTTTTTATGAGTCTTGGATGGTTTAGGGGAAATTGTGTGCTCTCATTAAAAGAGATTGGGCTCGAGCGTTACTTTGCCCGCGGGAACTGAGCGTGAGGCCTTGAGCGACGGGAGCCAGCGAGTGTACCGTTGCACTTATGCGAGAGATCTGCAGGGGGTCTAGCACATAATTAGTGCCAGATCCCTGGCAAATCTCTCCCCGACTCGTCCCAAATCTTACCGTAGGCGGAAAAACGCACGTCCTGCGGATCTACCAGCAGGCTCCTTGGCGCGATTGCGTCACAAGGTTTCACCTTTGACTTGTTAATCTTAACAAATCATTGGAACAGCGAAGCATCCTCTGATAGGCCTTCGCGTTAGGTCTATATGAACCTTTTTTCACGCCCCTGCGAAAAGGATCGAAATTCTCCCACCTGTAAAACTCGCGCGCTTCGTTAGCGTGGGAGCGCTTGGAAAATCACTACGTGTATGCTAAAAATGTATAAGCGCATTCATGCGTCATTACGTCGATTCCCTAAAAACACTGAATATCAACCATCTTTAACCGCAATCCGCTTACATCCAACGCTCCCTTCAAATACTCACTCTAACCTATCCGCTTTCTTTTAATCTAGTAGTTTCTTAGCTAGTTTCCAGAAGTGTTTAAGATCGTTGGGATTTGTGCCAGTTTTCAGGCCTTCGCAATTGCGGTGCAAGCGGAAGAAAATTCAGCGAGGTTCGATTCACAGGAAGCTAAGCCAATTGAAGTCGTCGGAAGTTCGAGGGTTTTTTCGATGAATCACTTCCGCTCTTTGTCTTCAAAAAACCAGTTTCTGGTTGAGATTGTGAGAGTACACCTTAAAATCAATATTTTTCGTTTCTGTTGCTAAAAAGTAGCGCTAAAACTGTGTTTGGTCTGAGTTTCGTTTTGGAGACGGTACTCCGTCACGAAGGTATCAACCTTAAAAAAACGTCTAAAAACCTTTTTGGCATAAAACCTTCTGTTGTCAAACTCAGAACAGGATACATTTCTTCACTTCTTCTGTATCTTTAGTCTGTGTTTTGAGCATGTTCGCTTATTCAGATATCAATTTTCTTTAATTTTTTCAGAAAACTGCTCTGATTCCTTTCTGCAAGTTTGTGCGGTAGATCTTACAAAATCCAGTATGCATTTTCGAACCACATCAAAACCAGAAGCGGTGGAAAGGCGGAGTGTGTGGTTCCCTAACGTCTTTTAGAGATCTGAGACGATGTATGAAATATTGCTCCTTTAATGAGTTGGTATGAAAGTTTACCAAATAAGTTGTCGGTATGGAAACCGCAGGTGGGTTTTGAGAGCGTTCCACTGCCTATGGTTAGCGAGGTGTTCTACTTAATAATAGTGGCTCTCACCTGTACTACCACTTTCGAACAATTCATTATTAATGAATAAACTCAAGAAGGTTCTCATCCAGATTAAGAAGCCTAACAATTAACACATGTTAAAGGTTTTTCTGTGAGTTCGTAATATCTTTATTTAGCTGGTTCAGTGTTGCTAAAAAAATTTCAAGCCCCCGTGTCACAGTTATGGGTTGAAATGTCATTCACATGGCTAGTGGTTGATTGTCTAAAACGAATTTAAGTTGAAATGCCCAGATCTCTCTCGGTTTAGTCAAAGGAATCTTTGTGGCAAGTCACGAAATTTTATTGATAAATCAATGAGACTCCTAAACGAAAATTTTCAGTTAAATTGGGTTCTCTATTTTTTGTTCTGCGGTCATATTGACTAATCACCAAACCACGATGTCAATATAAGTAGTCAATATTAGCCCCAAGATCGAGGAAGTTTTAAGGGGGTACAGACAAAAGGAAACGGATTCCTTGCGATCCAGGAGCTTGAAACTCTTGAAAAACTGCAGAGCAATGTCCTGTGTTTGATAGCGTGGGAAGTTTTGCTGGTTTGCACCATGCAGCGTTTCTAAGGATAATACATAACAGAAAATGTAATTTGTGATAATATTCATTGACGTAAACTCTTATTATGCCGGCACATATCGGAGGGTTGAAGACGGATGCAAGGTGCAGGGAGGGTTATGGGATCGTAGTTTGTAAATTGCTGTTTTAGGGTGAGGAAGTTTCTAGGTTTCGCTTTCGTGTAAAATTACGATAGCAGCATTTTGATAGCGAAGAATAGATGTGATCGAAATGTTTTCATTACAAGTGTAGGTGAAAATGGCCTCTAATCCCCAGTCTCCCAGACCTAGCACCTCCCCCTCACGGTGGATTTATGTATTAAGATTGTTTTTCGTTGAAGTGGGGGGGGGTTGCGGTGAGGCACACAGGGATAAACATTGCACATCGCGTTGCTTTGAAGACCAAAAAAGCTCAACTGTTGTTGCAATTCCCTCTACCAATCTGTCATATGACATATGGTCCACTTCATGCTCGTTGAATCAGTCTGTCGATCAGCCAGTCAGTCAATCTAAAACAGAGGATTGAGATTGATGCAGTGTACCTTGTATGGCCAGTAAAACCATGAACTCATCAATGTTAGCTGACCCCCAACAACTTTGGTGTTGTAGAGATCTCATAAATTTTTTTTTTGTCCAGTGTGCCACAAAGAGCGTGGCGCTGTTTAGCAAATCTTAGAATGCCACAATACAAGTCAGTAACCCATCCAAAACAAACCCAAACAAAATGAGATAAACTGAAGCAATTCCTTTTCTCATAAATTTTATTTGCCCTTTCTTTTCTTTCTTGCTGCAAGGTATATGGGAAATTTTTAAAGAAACTCAAGAGGTATAAATTAAAACCTAAACAGACTCTTTAACAAGTACTGCAATAAAACTCTGATAGCTTTGAATTCCTCCTTGAGAAATAACATTTATTTGTAACACAAGTCAAATACTTATGCCAGAGACCATGAACATCTTCCTTTCTGAACATTTTTCTTACATGATGACCTGCTAAAACAGCAAGGGAACGTTATATTCTTGTATATTGTCGTTTTTCTTTCTTGATTAAGATAGGTCTGCAATGCATTATAAAACTTTCTTTAAACTAATCTGACTTATCAAATAAATTCTAGCAAAGCAGCCTGAATGAATAAAAGAGCTTGACATAGTAAAAACCTCATAAACTGTAGTTTCTGCATGTTTCAGAATGCTTAGTACTGTTGATAACTTCTGTCCTAAACCCTTTAACTCTTAGAGGTGACTAAACTGTAAATTCTCTCCACAATATCCATACATTATCCAGCAAACAGGTGATGAGAATACCCTAACTTATCAGGTAAAAGTTATCTTGATCTAACACTAAATTCTTGTAGGCAATTAATTTACAGGAGAATGTGTAGCAATTAGAGGAGAGAATTAACAATCAGATCTTGGGAGTTAAAGGGTTAACAGAATTTGGATAAACTTCAGTACTGTGAGTCACTAGTTTCATTGAAGAACTCTAATGATAGTGCACACAGTTGGTTAAATCTTCCTAGATAAGTCATAAAAAGGAAAATTTTTTCGTAGTATCAAAATTGTATAATAGATAGTATGGATTCTTATTGCTAGCCAAGACTTAAAAAAAAGACAAAACAAAATAACATGTCTTTTTGAAGAAAGTATTGTTTCACCTGCTTATCAAAAAACATTGTGATCAGACCAAGATAGATTCACAAGAAAATAACCATGCTCCCTATGAAACCACAAAAACACCACTCACAACAAGTACCTGTGAACTGAATTATTGTACAGCTCAAATTAAGTTTACAAAGAAACAAAAAACCCAAATAAGAAATAATCATTTAGTTACACATATACTGGTTCTTTAGAAGTGTCTGTGCCACTGTCATCTGACGAGTATCTCCTTGCAGCAGTATAGGTATTACCACCATCATCAAAAAACCTTCTGAATGTGAATTCATAAAATGCGTGTTCAGGATGTTTGCCCTGACGGGGTGCCACTGTTTCATTTGCAACTGAGGCTGCTCCTCCTTCATCACTGCTCATTCTCTCTGATTCCTCAACTGGATCAAAGTTTGATGTGTCAGTTGGAGAGGCAATCCGTGGGCGGTATGGAGCCTGCATGCGACGCACACCATAACTCCAGTCAACATGTGCAAAGAATGGATGATTCTTGATTTCCTCAATTCCATTCTTTCCAAGCCTCCTCTCTGGGCTTGTACACAGTCCCAGGATCAAGTCTTTAGCCTGAGGGCTGAGTTCAGCTTGCTTGGGGATGTGCAATGTTGTTTCCCAGTTGATGACCTGAAAAAAGGAAATGATATTCACATTACACGGGGAAATTAATTGCAATACTAAGGGAAGATACAGTTATTTGCGGTAAACATAACTTTGCTTTGGTCCAGCCTCAAAGCACAGCCATTTACAGAAAAGTTTAAACTCCTGATTATAGCAATTCACTTTTAAACATACTTCTGGCAACTTTTTGTGGGAGCAGAAGAAAATGAATCACAAAAATAAAGAATTTTGTGACAAGGAAAGACAAAGCAGACACATCACAAATGGTTGACATTTAATCAAAGGCTATCAAGAGATACTAAGAATAATGCCACATGAAAAATGTCAAGAACAAACATTTTAATGGACATTGAAATTGCCTCTCAGTTTTCCAGACGTTTTGAGGAATTCGCAATGAAGTGTGACAAATGCATCTGATACTCAACCAAGCTATCTCATTGTTGCTTTAGACATCATACAGATATTACTAACAGTACCTGTTAATTTACAACTGAGTAAAGAGAAAAGCCTTATTCAATCAGTGAGACAGATAACAGTGTTCTCCCTTATTTTGGGCATGACAGGTAAAATAAATTTTCAAACCAGTAAAGCAATCCTTTTACTTGTTAAATTTTCAAGAATTCCAAGAAATTTAAACAGCATTAAGAGGTACTACAGGCAGTAAATGTTACCAGTTACTGCCTGAAAAGGAGAACACTGGATAATATGACTAAGTTATCACATGTCTATTTTGGTTAGATTTATAAGCTTCTACTGTACCACTAAAAGGTTTTTACATCTTTCTCAAATAAGGATTTTGCCACCTACCTTCAGTTGAGTATCTGCTGGTGTGGAAGCCAGGAATGGAGGTTGTCCAACAAGCATCTCATACATTATTACTCCCACTGACCACCAATCACAAAGATGTGTGTAACCACTTCTCTGCAATACCTCTGGTGCGATGTAATTGGGTGTACCCACTAAAGAATGCGCAAGACTACGTTTGTGCTTGCGAAAATGCCGCCTCTCCAATGGCTTCATCTGTTGAAGTGACTTCTGAAGAAGCTGTTCATTTAAATCAGCAGAATATTCCATTTGGTCCCAGTACTGCATGCCATACTCCATGCTTTCTTGTCTTTTGTGGCCATCCTTTTCCTCATAATACTTGCTGTCATGAGTCCAACGAAAGCCAGTGCAAAGCCCAAAGTCAGTCAGTTTAATATGACCATCATGATCAATCAACACATTGTCAGGTTTTATATCCCTGTGTACAAATCCCATGTTGTGAACTGACTCAATAGCCAGTACAAGTTCTGCAATGTAGAATCGTGCTAGATCCTCTGGAAATATTTCAAATTTGATCAAAAGGCTCATTAAATCTCCTCCTGGTATGTAGTCCATCACCAAATACAAGAATTTCTCATCTTGGAATGAATAATACAGTTTTACGACCCATTCATTGTCCGCCTCAGCAAGAATGTCTCTTTCTGCTTTGACATGTGCCATCTGATTGCGCTTATAAACCTCAGTCTTCCGCAGGATTTTCATGGCATACAACACATTTGTGTCTATTTTCCTTACAAGCCACACTTCTCCAAATGCACCAGTACCAATTTTACTTATCTTATCATACATAGTGATATCCATCTTTGATCGCTTCAGACGAGTGTAGTTTGTTTCTTTCTTCATTAGGATTTTTCGCATTTGATCTCTTGCATCATGAGAGAGTCCAACTTTATCCATCTCCTCTTCGAGCTGAACACGCCTCTTCTCCCTTTCCTTCGTGTTCTTCATTAAGTTTTCAAAGTGTTGTTCCAAGTAAAATTTAGTTGCAGTGGGAGAAACTGTCTTTAGTTTTGATTTCTCTTTGTATTGTCTATACCTCTGGCCGGGAGTCAGAGTCTCCATATCGGACTCTGACATTTGATCATCATCCTCATTGCAAGGAACTGAGGTCTCCATGTTTGGAATTGGAGGCCGTTTGGGTGAATCAAGACGATAAACAACTGTCCCAGTTACATTGGTAACCTTTGTTGGACCCTCCACAGTGAATGATGAGTCTGATAGAGGAGAAGGAGGTCCGCTGTCATTATAAGAACTAGACCATGGCATTTCATCACTTATCGAACCAGAGTTGGATGATGTTTCCGTATTCCAAGAGTGTCTCCACTGATCACAGGGAGGTGGTACTGGCGATCGTGATGACACACGTGGTACATGGTTCTGCCAGTTGCTTGACTCACCCATGCTTACATCAGAAGGCATCTGCCTCCTTGCAACTGGGGCATATGCAGGTGGGGGATGAAGAGTTGGGTCAAATGACTGAACAAAGTGTGGCACTGGAGTCTGCTGTGTGCTTGGTATGGGTGAGTTGGAGTTCAATGCATCACTGTGCGCACCCTGAACAACTGTTGGAGCAATATGTTGGGGCGTTGTTTGGTAAAATTGTCCTTGAGTGGATGACTGAACATTCTCAGAGGAATTTTGTGCAAAATTGGTTTGAACATAAATGTTGAATGACATATTATTTGCACCATTTCCTGTAACATTTGGAACCGTTGAAGCCATCCGGCCTTGATACTCATCGGGAGCGGAGTTGTTTCCAGTTAACGTAAGGTTAGCAGTTACATGAAATTGTGGAGAAGGTACATTAGCCCCAACACCACTGACAAATTGTGGTTGACCCTGATTCATTCCTTGCATTGGTCGTGCTCCAACAACTGAGGTAGGTTTCCAACCAAGCTGCATTTTTGGGCCTGCTCGCTCAACAAATCTTTGCTGAGGAGCTGCTACCCGTGCACCACGCCAGTTTTGGACAAGTTGACCAGGATTATTTGACCTTTGAACACACCATTCCGCCCTTGTAGCCTCTGGTGTTGACATCCCTGTACTTGCCTGTGCACATGGCATGGAAACTGTACTGTGTACCCTTTCTACAGCAATCATGGGTGATTCTGCTCTGACCGTTTCTTCTTCTGAACCTTTCCAAGGACGGTTGACTGCTGCATTGTAAGGGGGAGGAAGTTGAGACCGACTGTTGGGTGTATTTGAACCAAAATTGACTCTGTTATAGCCCCTGGTTGATGCCAAAGTTTCAATCAGTTGCAATGCATCCTCCACTGTCCTATTAGCAGTCATCTTTATGGCTTCAGTGGCCATATCCTGGAATGATAAGTCAAAGTGTAACTATTGATATCTTGTCTAGAAATTTCATCTCTCCCCCCCCCCAAAAAAAAAATCCCGGTTTAGTAGAAATTGAAAACATGTGTTCACAATTCCAGCACTACTTCAATCAGTAGGTCAACATCCAACATTTTTCGGGATTTCAAAAATGTCGCGTAATCCGATATTCGATTATCGCATTTTTTGGCTGCTATTTTTAAGCTGAAACATTTATCAGTTTTCAGGCAAATGATAGTTCCAGGATGCCTGTTTCCAGATGTTTCTTTAAATAGACATTCGATAGAGAGATATTACAATATTATTTTACATCGTTTCGCATGGTCGTCCACTTGTATCGGTTCTCTCGTGAATAGAAGGCATGAGTGCAACGACTGCTATTTAACACTACATGCTAAGAACTCAAAGCCCGAAGCTGAAAGAATCTGTTGGAACCAACCCTTTGACCCGCGCTTCCGGACAAACTTTGCAAAAAGGACACAACATTTGCCAAATCCAAATGCTTGAGATAATAAAGCAGTGCGGATATGTAACTTAACACGAAAAAGAACCGGCGATAAAAAAACACTGGCGGCCGAGCGGAAAATATGGCCTTCCCCTGAGATCTAAAAGCTCATTTACTAACTTATCACAATAAAATCGATGCCAAAGAGTACATATGTTACTTTCCATTCGCGGGATATAAGGACAACGGTACCAGAAACAACAATAGTAAACCCTCAAGTGTAATTTATCAAGAAGTAAATATACGTGATATAGAGTGAATTTATCGTTATAAACCCGGGTTTTAAGGCCGAAGTAAATAAACACGAGGTACCCTGTTCTACAACTATTGTGCGTTTGCAACACCTACAGAAAAGAAACGTCGACAAGAAGCAACGAACGAACCAAGATCATGGAAGTCTTTCAACCACAAAAAATTGTAAGTTTTGATATAAATACAGTACCTCGTCCAAACCCATCGCTTTGAGTTGACCCATCAAATACTGTTTATTAAAGGCCTCTCCATTCTCAGAACATGAAGAATAACCAGATTCTGTAGCCTCGAAGGGTTTTAAACTGCTCCTTATTTCGGCTAAGGCTTTCGCATGACTCATTCCTCGCCGATTTGGGTTGTGTACAATCCTTGTAGCGTTTGCTTGAGTAGTTTGCTCGTGTACAACCGTTGTCGCCGCGTTCGAGCTCGGGGTTGCCGCTGCTTGTTGTGAAAGCCTCTGAGGTTGTTCAGGTTGCCTTTTTAAATGTTGTAAACTCTTCTTAATGTCCCGAAGCATTTGCTGGCTGTTCCCGACATAAGTCGTTCGCCGCGTTTGTTCTCCTTCCCGCATCGACATGTTCGTTGAAATTTGTGTATGTTTTTTAGTGTTTTCTTGGTAATCGCAGATTCGCGAAGCGTTGAATAATCAAACCCGAGACAATGAAGCCGATAGGGAATGGTATAATCTGGATAGATCCAAAAATAAAATCTTGATCGAACCCGACCCTTCAGTGATGAAATCACCTTCGTGGATAACTCAAAGATTCTCAAATTCCATTGTTGAATATGTAAGATTACAGTTTCACATACAGCCACTTCGCAATAGGAATATTGACGTTGAGTTGTAATATGAAGACCCAGACGCTCTCCTGTCTATGAGAAAGACGCGAAAATAAAATAACAAGGGATCTTGGTTGACCTGACGATGAAACTGGTCTGTAAAAGCGAAGGATTCTTGCTCACGCAATTAGATATTTGACATTCCACGGAAGACCTCTAGGTATCACCTCACTTTGAAGTTATTACGGACCCAAAATACACTTCCGATCCGAGAGTGTAGAATTTTGAGAATCTGCTGCTTTTTCTTCTCTCCAACGCAGATTCTTAGCGATCCTGCACGACTCGGATAACCTATAAGAAGTATAGAAACGGTTAAGAGCCTTTGATAAGGACAGACAGATTAACTGCACAAAATTTATTGTTTGCTATGCGAAAGAATTGGAAGATGACATGTCCACCCCCTTAAACATAAAATTAACTTAATTGACACATAGCGATCGTGCCTTCTTGGGTTGTGCTTATGATTGGCTAGTGGTTACCATGGTGAACTGACGAGGTCCACAAGAGACAGCTGGGTTCTAAAGTATCAGTATCTCGTTTCAGACATTTGTGAAAACTTGATTACGGTTGTTTGCGTGTCGGCGCTTCGAATTCTTTCATTTAAATCTCCATGTCATCTGTTCATTGCTAGTTTTTACTGACTTAACAAGTGGAAACTTAAAAAAATTAAAGAATGCAGCCTGCATCAAGGATGCAAATCTCAATAGAAAATACTAGACGAAACCACGAATAGCGTCATAATGCGACATTCCAATATTGTGAATAATATCACAAATTTATTCACGCTATAACCGTGTGTTATGTTGCCCTCAAAAATATTTCGTTCTCTAAAGTTGTACGACTTATCGCAAGTTCAAAACTCCCCTAGTAACTGGTTAAATAGACTGTTTTGATCTCTAGTCTAATTCAGAGGGACGGGAAGTCAGAATTCACGGGAAACAACGTCTCAAAGAGTCCTAAGGGCTTCCGTTAGTTCTTAGAGCGCAGTTGTGAAAAAATTCTGGAGATACCCAAGTTTTGTGGCTTTCCGCGCTTCCGGCTGAGTATTACGGGAACTCAGAATTGATGAATGTTGACAAAAACTGTCTTCGACAACGCTAACTTGATTTAGTGCCATGAAGTCGCATCTTATGCTATATATGGTTAGGTTCTTGGACTGTGACATGAAGTAAAGCCAAATTCTCTGCACGAGCTAAAAGAAAAGTTCGCCTTTGGGTTACCACACATGGTGATCAAAAGAAAAATGACAATGTTCCCCAGTCACGCGACCATGAACCAAAACCACGTGTTAACCAAGTAATCTTTGCTTCCTTTAAATTCCTCAGACTCCGAAACCCTCTAAATCCAATCTCGGGGAAAACTTAACGCACAAGCAAACAAAACCCATTCTACCCCTCGCGAGTTTTCGCGCACCATTCCACGCGACTTTCCAATCACACCCAATTCACCACATTCTAAATACAACTGCGAGAAGACCACGGGCGGCGTGTTTAAAAGTATAAATTTAGGAGCAAACAGGAGGACAATGAAAATTATTTTGTTTTTACCTGAGTTGGTTAAGAAGATTTTCTCTTGCCGTGCGTGTGACCCTATCCACGTCTTAAGAGACTGAGTGGCCAGCTTATATTTTGGGAATTGGAGTGTCCTTCTTAAGGATTATTCATCACTGTGTTAGACCCTTGCGATAACCTGCGGTATCTTGTAAACGCAAAAAGGCCATATAGAGTAGATTTTTGAGTGAACAGGAAGTCCGTATTGTCGCTGTGAAAGCGGGGAGTGTATTTGTTATAATCCTGCGTGGGTTGCGCGGTAATACACCCGAATCGATTCGCAACAGTAGACATCGAAGTACACAATAAACAGGGCTGTAATAAATTGCTTTGTGAAATGAATTAAGTTCTAATACTGACGTCAAAAATTACAGTCATAGTCATACAAAAGCACTTTTTGTCGTGCGATATCAAATCGCTAAAACAAACTGATTGATGTAATTTCAATGTTGATATAGGTGTTTCAGGGCGTTTAAATTGAGGTTGACGTCATTCGTGCTTAAGAGTGCGAGATAACGGAATAATACACGTTACTGAAAGCAAAACAAAGCCTTTTCTTGATAGTTTTGCAAAGTGGGGGATGGTTGCACATGACCGATTTTCTTGGTCTCAAATCTGTCAGCTTCAACAGACTAAATAAAGCGGCATTTTTTAACCAAACAAAGTTTCATAATGATAGGCCGGAGCATTTTCTTCCCTCGAGGCGCTGCAATTTTTTGTAAAGCGGTACGTAGAGGATATTTTCGTCAACTTCTTGTGCAACAAGTGCTTAAGTTAGCATTTCTCATAGACATCTGGTAACATACAATTATTGCCGCTACCCGAACAGCCTTCACGCCCTCGCATCTTGCCCGGAAAGGGCATTTGATATTGCAAATCAAACCTAATACGGTCACTTCTGAGTTATAATCTGGTGCGTTTCTAACAAAGCAAATCTTATGTTAATTAGGAACGATTTCAGCAACAGGTAAAATTACTGACCCGTATGAAAACCCTATATCAAATACATCACAGAGCAGAATAGTCGAAGTCTATTTTGGTTAACTAGCTTTGTAATAACATCCGCCTTCATTGCTTCGTTTACAAGTTTTGCTTAAAGCTAGATTCTTAATAGTCTTTTTTTTTAATCTAAGATTAGCCACCTAAGAATTCACTAGTTCAATATCCATTGGTTGATACCGATTTATTTTCTCCCGTAAACTCTTTCCTAAAACCTTCGCTGTTTTTTCGACAGAACGTTTTTTAAATAACACATCGCCGAAACAAGTTTTGCAGATTGTTATGCTCCGAGTGTTTGATTTAGCGAGAAATTTTTCGGAATTTATTCTCAACGCTCAAAAAAAAAAAGCTGAAGGAACTTTATTTACGACCCCAGGTCATATTATATACAGGTGCAAGAGCCTTGAGAACAAACTTCCAAAACATTTCTAATTATAGTAAATTGTTCTATTATATAATATGCATTTGGTCGAACAGCAGTGGGCGGTGTTATTTAGTCAACAACCCAGAACGCCTTTTCATCGTCAAATGATCATATGATAAAGAACAGCGCATTATATGAGTCGCTTCAGGGGTTGAAATCAAACAGTCAGTTACGCACTTGACCCGCTGAGGTTGATTTCCTCGAATTAGAAGTCGCATTCTCACAGAATTATCTCTCTTTAGAAGTGAGCTAAATTCCACATGTATCCTGCAATAACACTTTCGATATCAAAGCCACTTTGTTGTGTAAAGTTCTCTGACCGGGCTGCGTTCCCAAAAATTAGATATTCGAAAACTGACTAGAAAAACCCAAGATGCATGACTAATTGTAAGATTTCAGAAATAATTTTCAAGTTGAAGAGGGAGCAAGAATTTCCAAAGCGGCCGTAAAAAAACGGCCGCGAACTTCCATCCATGATAAGCTCGTGTCCAGCTGTTGGTACATTTTTCTTCTGGAAACTTCTACTTGCTGGGTTAAAACAATAACAGTAAATCTATTGAATAATTTAAAGAATCGCGACCACTCTAACTGCGCCTTGCATTTGAGAATGAATTCTAACTTTGAAAAATAATTCCTGGCCTCATTATCTCGGGTCAATTTTGAGAAATTTCCGTTCATATGTGTCCAGCCCGCACAAAAGAGAAATTGCAATAATCGGCCATCTCACGGTGTCTCATGATCGGTAAATGTCTAACCCAAGAAACCAATAATAACTCCCCAGATCCAGACAGAACAGTCAAACTTCTTTTTAGCTATTGAATAATTGCCAACTAACCAGAGGTTTCTATCAAAGCCAGCTACCAGCAGTATACTGCCATTTGTACCTCTTAAGCAAGCGAACGGGCTCTGTTGTTTGGCATTCGCCTTCTACCTCTTTCCCGGGCGGAACCGCCTATATTACACCGTTGGCATCCATCGAAAAAGGAAAAAGTTTTTGAACCCTGTTACTAGCTTAATAGTGAAATCATGAGCGATTTCGGGAATTTCAGCATTAGTTTGTTCAAATGAGTTGTATAAAGCTGTCAGTTTGGTTAAAGTCAAATATAATTCAAACATATTCTTTGAGGCGATCGCTCGAGACGTTACGAAATAGAAATACTGTTTGATTGGTCACCTTGATCCATAACTGAGAGATATTGAAACCGGCCTAATTTCCGTTTCAGACCTATTTACTTGATTGCTTAATAAGCGTATTTTGAAGCCGAAGAAAGATGTTCACAATGTTGCACTGAAGAGCATCTTCGCACTAGAATCGATTTCATCAACAAAGTTTTTCTCGCGACACAAGTGAAAAACAAAGCAACATGAATGCTTTTTTTATAAACTCCGAGTGGAATAAAATTGATTTAACTTTGTCATAGTTCTTCGAATCTTCCTGAAGACATGGAATTTTCACGGGTAGACAGCATGCAATCTGTATAATGTCTATGAGAAGATGCATGACTGTACTGAACTGATAAAGTGTTTAAAATAAGCTTATCTTTTTTTTTTTACGATCCAATACAGTTTGTATATGACGTAAATGTCAACTTAAAGGCATGAGAAACTCAAAGTCCAAAGTTGAACTAAACGAAATGAATTTTAAGTGCTGATTTCAAAACAAAATAACCTCTTGAAACACGAGGTTAAAAATCTCTAAGAATGGCTGTCATTCAAAATATTGATAATGTCTAACTTTGAGCCCTGAGGGAGTTTCGATACAGC